GTGTATCTAATTGTAGTATACACTTGATGGATTCACCTATATAGATGTGGGAATGGAGCCGCTTCCTATGATAATTTGGGCAGGTTTTCTAGAGCATTTATGAATATCCAGGTAGAGTGCATGACCTATTCGCACCAACCCGCAATGAACAAACTTATATTAAAGGGTCTAATGTGAGTGATAAGTGTAGTCAGTTTATACTAAAGAAATCTAGTTCATAGAAATTTTATATTTCACTAAATTTCTATAAGCTCTATCTTGTTTTTCCTAAGTAATGGTTCATAGTCCAAAGACACCACTACAATGCATTAGATGCTCGTGTTCCCAATCAAAGTTGTTATTTTATGTATACATTATATTTTGAAATATGTGGGGGGAATTATTGTATTTAATATATATTTCAAAATATAATATTTATTTATTTATTTCTAATATATGTGTATAGAAATATAAGTTAAAAAATTAATAATAATAATAGTAAATATATATATTTAAAAATTATTTTTAGACCTATTGGATGATCTGAACAGTACACGTTATGACTATTTATTTTATTATTGATATTGAATCAATTAATTATATTACATGATAAATAAATTTTTAAAATTTTTGACCGTTGGTCAATAATCGTTGAAATTATAATTGATCGTTTGACCAACCATTGCATCCTGTGCCATCTGACTCTTCAACTAATATTTAAAGCCTTTGACGGCTTGTGTACGAAGTGCAGAAAGGAAAAGCTAGGAAAATAAAAAAAAAAGCTTACTATTCGAAACATAAAGCAAAGCAGAGAAAAAAAACAAAGGCCTACGGTCCGGTGGATTTTTGTGTGTATTTGATTTTTATACACAGTGAGTTTTTGATATTTATTTGTAAACAAGAGTTGTTCAAGACACTTTTATATTTGTGAGTGCACGTTTGTGGAAAAGTGATAGTTGAATCCTGCAGGATAGAACGTCATAACTTGTTGTACTGGATTTCATATTCAGAGGGACAGAAATCTATTCTTAAGGACAGTGACTGCACGCCTATATCGATAAGTTTTCTTATCTTGTTTATCATCTGATTTTTTAGCATTCTTGAATTTGAAATTTTACAACAAGATCAGCATACGAGTCCAGGCAGTGGCATGGAGGAAGATAACAACGTGCATCAACCTGAATTTGGATAAGTTCTGGATATCAACCTTTCACCTTGGACAGGATATTATCCCACAGGTTTTTTCTTTACTTATTTTTCTATTCGTTTTTTTTTTCCTCGTTGCTTAATTTTCTATTCACATTTAAGTGCAAGTTTAAACTATTTGCCACAAAAAAAGACTGATCGAGTTTACCAAAGTCCTTCAGTCACCTGGTTTGGGAATGACCATTAATTAGACACTTCAAATCAATATAGATTTTCACAAGAAAAAGACATGATCCTATATTTTCCCAAGATCTTATCATACTCCTCTGTGATAAGTCCTACTTGAACTTAATTTCTTAATCTCGTTGGATTAGCAATGGATCACAATATTAAATGGAGTTCATGGTCAATTCAATGATTACTATATCTAGATTAAGTCAACACATATATATATATATATATATATATATATATATATATATATATATTGGATCAGGTGTGTAATGCTAATGAGCTCCAAGAAATTTAATTGTTAACCAATTTAACCATGCAAATTCTTATTTGGTCCTACTTAATTATCTCGTCACCGTTGAATATTTTGGTATTATTTTAGTGGGTACAATTCCTATTTTTGTTTTTTTATGTGTTCTTTAAACTTAAATATATTATTTACTTTTGAATTGAAATAAGAAGTACGATAATCGAAACCAATTATTAGAATTGATGCATGCATTATTGTGACAAATGGAAGTATATATGTTGGCAGAGAATGCCTCCTTTCCAGCTGCACAGCCTAAAGAACGAGCTTTTCTTGAACTGTTTTTATCTCAATTCACTCCATGATTAAGAATCAAGATGACCTACAAATAGTTCTACATGACTCTCCATATATGTTACTCATTTATAGTTTGTTCTTGTCTCTTCTCCAAGTGCGTTGTCGAGTGGTTAGGACAGTGAGATTTCTAGATTTATAGCATTTCACTACATTGACTGTCTAGTTTCGGATGGAAGACCAACTGAATTTCCATGTCTTGCAAACACCACCGAGAGAAAAAAATTTTTGTAGAATTTATGAATGTTACATAAATGTTTTTGGTGCTTGGTTGCTCAGGCTCGGGCAGGCCTCATTGAAATCGGATTCAGATTCGATGGTAAGTGCTAAGGAAATGCTCATCAATCGGGGGATCCAAGTCCTCTAAAATCTATAGAAGTTTCATGCATGCCATCATTAATTTTTCATTTGATTATAATCATGTAATTTTTGTTGTTGATGACTATGTATTTTGAACCCCTGATCCACTCTCCCACTACCAAAAAAAAATTCTATTTAAAATATCATGCCGTAACTTCATCTATTGTATAACGATAGTTTAACCATATACTACTATGTACAATACAATATGATATTGGAAGGATTGGTAATAGATCAGGAAACTTGAAAAGATTATTTGCACTTGAAAATAATTAAAATTTATTATTTTTGATGGGACGTTGACAGTCTACCAATTATTGGATGACATGTGTCTAAGTGGCATCGGCTTATGTCTCCTCAAGCCGAGGCTGAGGGATAACCGAGCCAAGACAACATAGCTAATTCTAATGTCATCCTAATTGATATGGAGCACAGGCTTCACGCAGAGCATAAAAGTCACAGACTAATCAATGTCATCCCATTAAAAGAAGAACTATTTTTAACCGTCAGAAAGGCGGGGTATGGCTCTTGACTGAGTTGAGAGTCCTCGGGAGGACATGAGGGTGTCCTCAGGACGTATTCTTAAATGCTCAACAATGGTCTGCAGATATTTTACCTACAAAGCCGTGAATGTTCGGAGAGAGCCGAGTATCCAAATTGGAATATCTCGTCGCTCAATATTAAAAATGCGTGATAAAATAACACTCATTGCATTGATCATAGATCATAGGCTATCATGACTAAAAATTATACTTGAGTGATTGTTACACCGTCATATTTAAAGATACAAACCCTTTATCAAACTACTACACATGTACGTAAAAAAAATTTGACTAAACACTAAACATTTTCCTAAAACTTACTTCACCAACTGGCTTAAGTTTTGGAAGGAAGAAGTTAAGTGTTCATTTGATTTTTTTTGACTCGTCTTCTGTTTAAAAAACCAGGGATTGTTCTCCACTCACCGTGTCAAGGCTATCCCAATTTATTGTAAGATCACACCCCGTGCAATTTTGTACTCATAAAAATTAAATTTTTTAATATATTAAAAGTGTTATAACATGATTTCTCTATTAACTTCCGTTGCTCAATCTATCTATGTCAATGAGATGAATCTATAACGAAATGAATAACATAAACTAACGAAAGAGTCACAGTGCAACATTTGAAATATATTGAGGATATAATCTAAAAAATTTTAATATTTAAATATGTAAAATAAAAATTCTTAAATCTTTTAGGAGGCAAAGTGTGATTCTCCCAAAATTAAAGTGTTTTTTTTTTTGGGTAAGTAATGAGCAGAAGTGTTGGCTGAGTTGAACAATTTTGAAAATCTCACATTGAGATAATACATCAAGGAAGTGATGTTCGAGTAATAATGATATCACGTCATTATTAATAAATTATCATTATTGGATTACTATACTTTATAAATCACAATTGCTAGTTGCAAATATGATTTCTCAATCAAACGCCCTTTATTTATTGAATAGAGTTAGATATAAACAAAAACATATAACATTCATATAATAGCATCGAATCATGATACTACGAATTATTGATAAACAATGGATGGCATAGCTGAAATGAAATAATGGGTTCATGTTCTAATGTATTTGTAAACTCAACTTAATAAAATTTTAATTACGTGTTTATATATATATTATCAAATTTAGCATGCTCCACTAAAGTCAGCTAGGTGATTAGAATTGATTGGGTTAACATTTAAACAAATTTTCTAATAAATCTCGTGAAATCTAATTCTCTAACTGGTTGAACAGTAAACCACTGACTTGGTAGTGTGACCTATTAATCAAGTAAATATATTACTTTTATAATTTGTCTCGAATGCATTGTAGGTAAATGTATCAAAGTTCGTTCCATTAACACGAAACAAACACAATATTAATAAAACAAGTGAATCCAACACGATATAACTATTAATAAATGAATCGGATATTAGAGAAATCAATTAAAAGAAATATGCGATATGATTCGCCTATATATTAGTTATATATAATTTATACATGATAAGAATTTGATATGATATGATTCATTAGACACGAATTAATAAATGAATTAAATATGAATAAAATATTTTTTTATATGAGCTCACTGAGACCAAACTCAAATTCACTTCATCCAATACGATTGAAAGTCCTAAACTCCAATTTATAGATATACTAGTTATGTTCGATCCAAACATTTTAATTTAGTGATTGAAGAGCAAGATCTGGTCTTTGTATGGGGTTGATGTCGACATTATATTTAATAACTCTTGCTTACAAAAATAAACTACTAGCCGACACATGCTAGGCGGAAAAGGTAACCGGGAAATCAAAATCCAAAATCGAAATCCCAATTTCAAAAATTTACAACACAATCGGAGTTGGCTCAAACTCCAAAACTCAAACCAAAAATCTCCGAAACCTTAAAAACAAACCAAAAATCACATTTCGACTCGCACATGGCCATGATACAAACATCAAAAGCGCGCAAATTAGAATTTCGAAACAACACAAATGGCGGTACTTATGTTCTTCAAAGCCTCCTCTCATCCACACACTTTCGTTACAGAGTCACCACCCACGGTTCTCTCAAACCCACCCTTCTTTTGTCTTCCTCTCTGTTCTGGGAAAGTCAAAGCCCTAGTGTCTAACTTGGAACAGAGAGTTAGATAGCAATGGCGGACCAAGAGAACTGCGCGAGAGTCACTCGCTTATCGAAGAAGAGGGCAGCAGAGGCAGTGGCTTTGGGTGAGTCTCAACAACCGCCTGCTAACAAGAAGAGAGTAGTGTTGGGGGAGATTAAGAACTTGTCGAATGTTGTAGCTAATCAGGTTCAGAAAGTGGGTTCTGAGCCTCGGAAGCCCAGATGTAAGTCGAAGAAGTTCAAGAAGGCAGTGACAACGACGACAGTGACGGAAAAAATTGATGAGGAGATCAATGTCAAATCGGATGATCCCCAAATGTGTGCAGCCTATGTTTCTGACATATACGAGTATCTTCACAACATGGAGGTGAGTGAGGTCTCTATCCTAAGTTTTATGGGGTAATTGTAAATGGGTAGGTAATCTTTGAGAATCATCAAATGTGTTTACTGTTAATTTTATGAATTGTTTCATTTTTCGTTGGTCAATTTATCTATATTTTTGAGGAGTTTAACAAATGGGTTAGGGCTAATTTGCGGTTGGTTCTCTTTGGGTGATTGATGTGTTGTTATAATGGATTGTAGGCTCAGGTTTTTGGTGGGTATTTTAGATTAGGGTTCAGAGATTTGATAAAAATGGGGTTTGTTATTCAGATGGAAGCAAATAGAAGACCATTGCCTACTTACATTGAGAACGTTCAGAAGGATGTGACTGCTAACATGAGAGGAATTTTGGTGGATTGGCTAGTTGAGGTAGCAGAGGAGTACAAGCTTCTTTCGGACACACTGTATCTCACAGTTTCTTACATGGATAGATTCTTATCGATGAATGCTCTCAATAGGCAAAGGCTTCAGCTTTTGGGTGTCTCTTCAATGCTCATTGCCTCGTAAGCATCTAGATGTGCTTTTGCAGTTACTCTTTAGGCGATTTATGTTTGGTTTTTGCTTATGGATCTGTGTTTTGTGTGTTGATTTGTAGTAAGTATGAAGAAATTAGCCCTCCCCATGTGGAGGATTTTTGTTACATCACTGATAATACATACACTAAAGAAGAGGTGGTGAAGATGGAGGCTGATGTACTCAAGTGTCTCAAGTTTGAAATGGGAAATCCGACAATTAAGACATTTCTCAGGTATTTTAGCACTTGTGTTCCAGCTTTATTTTTCCTTATCTATGGTGCAATTTGCCTCATTTTTCTGATTGTCGTCACCTTTTCTCTTGGTTTGCAGAAGATTCACCATGATTGCTCAAGAAGATTATAAAGTAATCTTCTCTCTCTCTCTCTCTCACACACACACACACAATTTCTCTTCAGCCATTTGGTTCTAATTTGTGTTTTCTGTTCTCTACAGACTCCCAATTTGCAGCTTGAGTTCCTGGGGTACTACCTAGCAGAGCTGAGTTTGTTAGATTATGGTTGTGTGAAGTTCTTACCTTCTATGGTGGCTGCATCTGTTATATACCTTTCAAGGTTCATGCTCCAACCAAAGTTGCATCCTTGGGTAAGGGTTTGGTTTCAACGATTTTGTGTTGCTTTAATCTCTTTCATACATACTTATGTTTTGCACTTTTACAGAGTTCAGCCCTGCAACAATATTCAGGATATAAACCAGCTGATCTAAAGGAATGTGTGCTTATTATTCATGACTTGCAATTGAGTAAAAGAGGAAGCACATTGATGGCAGTGAGAGATAAATACAAGCAACATAAGGTAAAATTGTTATCCACTTTTTGATGATTTGTTGGGGACAGTTTATTGTAAAGATAATATCTGATTGAATTGCACAACTTTTGTGGAACAGTTCAAATGTGTATCAACATTGTCTTCTCTGCTAGAAATACCCAATTCCTTCTTGGAAGATGCTAAAGAATGACAGATGATATCAGCGTTTATGGTTTGAAATTTTTAGGAGTCACTTATGATTCCCCTTGAGGATAAAGCTTGGAAGCAAAGATGCATGTCTGTGCATTCTTACACTGGAAAATAGGTTTATACTGCTTGATGAAGAGGTTTTCTAACTGGTTTGGTTATTCTAGGCTGCTGATTTTCTAATCTGATTTAGTGTTGGATATGTACATACAGAATATGAATGGGGTTACTAAGATTACCATGGCCAGTTTTTTCCTCACATGACTAGAAGGCTCACAATTTCTTATTTGATACCATGGATTGTGTAGACATTACTTAATTGGGACTGGTTCCCATGATGAATGTTGTATTGCTATGGCAATGTGTGTTTGGAAATTGGAATATTCGTTTGAGATTTTGGGGTTTAGGGTTTTTTTTTCGTTTGATCTATTTTTTTGTCTTTAAATAGAATTGCTTACTCTCGATTTTTGGAAAAACTTAAAAGCTTGAGAACAGTTATTAAGTTTTTTGGAAAGTGAGCACAGTTACAAGTCAACAGTGGACAACAACTTTATACATCATGAGTAAAAGTTGTTTTCCATTCGAAACAATTGTTGGTTCTATTCTACCTTACCTGGAAGGATTCATGAATTATTTAGCTCTTTGAACCACCTTAATAATTCTAAACCTGCTGGATTCCATGTGATAACTCGGCAAGTGAAGTGACAAGAAGACAAAGCTGGTAAACAGAATGTAAGCCAAGGGAGAGAAACAGAAGGGCATCGTGTCTACCATTCTTAGTGAATGAATGGTGAACTGTAAATATTGTGAGGGGACCGACTTGCAACATGTATCTACCATGTGTTAGACTGAACTTCTTTGAAAACAATAGCGTTGACGTTTTTCAAGATTTCACTTCATTTTGTGTTTTTAATTTAGACAGCAACACAATTAGAACAACTAAAGATTCCCAAACAAAACAAAAACAGCTTTCAAAGATTCCCAAAGTGCAAATTTCTTCCTTTGCCAATTCGCATACTGCCATACCACAATATTAGTGGCAGAGCAACGTTTGTCAGATCTAATTTATTAATCAAGTACATCACAATCATTAAATTAATTATGAATTTTAATTTGACTCATTACCAAACTAATAACTGTAACACTTTTAAGTTAAAAAATTAAGTCTAAATAATATTATTATTAATGGTATTAGTGACCAATAACATTGTGTCACAATTTAAAGACGAAAAAACAGAATGTTTTCAGTAATACCGTCTTTGACTCAAATATTCCGAGACTGCTAATTGAAATTCCCCACCCCACCAAAAATACAAACTAAAAAAAAAAAATTAATCAAATGGATGACCATTGTCAACATCGATTCCGGTGTATGGTGACCTAATGGCAGGTCTAGATTTTCGATGTTGAGCCAACAAAGTAGGCCCCATATTCATCCTGTAAAACTCTCGGCTGCAGCAAAGAAATGAGAGTAAGCCACTCATTATACGACTAGATATTTGAAGATAATGCAGGGGTTAACAATACTAACCAATGAATGACTTAGAATTAGGAGCATCTTCGCCACATTACTAATACTACAGGTTTTGTCAACCAAAAAGCCTAAAAACTAAGTTAGCAGCACAAATGTGAAAAAAGGAATAAGTTCCGATTCACAACCAATTTACCCTATTCACGATCCTGACTAAACATGGATAGAGGAGTTTCTTCAAGCTTTACATTCGAAAATCAAAGACACAAACTACATTGTTTGAGAAACCAGCAGCTATCCTGTCACCTTCTTTGTTCCAACAAACCTCAAAGATCCCACCACTTCCTTTGTATGTTTTCACAATCTTGGCTTCCTTCACAGACCATATGTGCATGCATTTATCCAATGATCCACTCGCTAAATACTCGCCGTTTGGGCTAAATGCAACAGAGTATACAGAATCCCTGTGTGCAATAACACAAAAGCCTATCAGACAATTACAAGCACAACATAACTTTTTTTTTTTTTTGGGAGGGGATCCTTATTTTTTTTATTTTTTGTGGAGGGTAGGGGGCTGGTTAGGGTTATGTTGTGACGGGTGAATTTAAGGCAAGAATGGCTTCATCAAAACACACAAAAGTATGCAGCAACTCGTTCAATGGGAAGACAACAATTAGAGTTAACTTCTATTGCCCAATTATTGTCAATTAGAACCTTTTTCCTCCTCACTAGATCATAACGAAGGCTACAAGGCACCCCACATTTTTCCCCCAAGGGTTGCAAGGAGACAACACTAGATATAAGCGTGATACCTGTGACCAGTCAAGCTGTGGACAATGCTCCCCAATTCTGCATCCCATAGCTTTATTGTTGAGTCGAAGGAGGCACTACAAAAAAAAAAGGAAAATTACAAGTATTATTTGAATGAATATCGGAAACAGAAGAGTAGAAAAGTAAATATTAGCAGAGAATTACAACTATTTCACAACTAGCTCCATCCGACTAGTTCCGGGTTCGAATCCCCGGCAACCCATTGTCATATCGAAAGTGGGAGGAAGGCGATCAAGATCTCATGTGTAGCAGCTTTATAGAATACGTACCACCTTGGGGTCAAATGAGCTTTTGGAGGGCTACAACTAAATAAAAGCTTGAATTTTGATCGTGAGGTTGTCTTATTTGCACAGATTTTTCACACTTCCCATCCCATCCAAAATTATAACTCTCAGTTCGACTACAACAGTATGATCCAGAACACCCCCATTTAGATAAAAAGTAGGATATCAACCCTTATTATTTTGGTTGTCAGATGATGTGGATCATGTAAAACAAGCAGCCCTGGTGAGGCTACATAACAAAATTAGAGGGATGGATCAACACATGCATATAATGGTGGATTATGACTTGGCTGAACTTCTCTTGGACAATTAATACCACTTGTAAAAAACAAAATTAGTATTTGTAAAGAGCACAGTGGAGAGATTAAATTGCAGACTTGCAGCCAATGTCATTTTAGTACAGGCAGATCAGGGTCTGGTAGGGTAACATGATGACTTCAATAGTTAAATCATATGTAACTGTTTCATGTATGATCTATATAAACTTCTGTAGCTATACATAACATATGCATGAAACTAAACTATTGACGAGGATAGAAAAATGCAGATTGATCATTGAAACTATTTGGATGAAGAACCACTCCTATTTGAAATGTACATGTCCAGCATACAAGGGGCAGTCTAAGCCAAAATCTAAACTTCATTACCACCCTTACTACAGGCAGAACACTGTACTAAAAACCAATAATATTCTTCCTGTAATCATCATGCAACAATCAATCAGGCAGTTGACCATTTCAGGTTAACACCTTGTCACGCTTAACTGTAAGATAGTAACATGTTTACCTTGCCAACAATAATCGCTGAGTGGGGTTGTTCGTTCCCGGCCCTGTGGGACTCCATCTGATGGTGTATATCTCCTACATGATAGTATATTCACATTTCATACTCAGGTACTAATCAAGCAAAAGCATAGAGGGAGAATTTATGACGACATACCTTGGCATGTTCCTTCAGATCATGCATGCAGGCGTCTTGTTTCATGCTCCAGATCTGCATTATGTTTTCTTTAATTGTCAGCACAGCTCCACATAATGTGATTATTAACTTTACAGAAGGCACGATAACAAGAAACCATACGAAACAATATCTATCTACGCAATAGAAGAGTGCCATATATAAATAAATTTGAAAGTTGACCAAAGGTAGGCCAGACATTGGAAGCAACATTGATCAGAATGCCCAAGAAATCTACAACTCCATCACATCGGCAAGCTTATCCAGAAAACTTTATATCTGTATCAATAAATACTAGTCAGCAAAATAGCCAATCACCTTTGCAGTGGAATCATCAGAGCATGAAGCCAACAATGAACCTGTTGGATCCCATTTGATAGCATTCACTTCACCCTGTGTAGCAAAGTTAAAGATATAAAAAATAATCATGCATCAGCAATAAACACATTAAAATCTGCATAGTAATCTACACAGCTTCTTTGGGTTCCTCTTAAGTTCTTCAAAATTTCCGGAAGCATTAAGAAAAGACCAATAAGGTGATAATTTAGAAATTAGGCAACAAAATGAAAACAAAACACCAACTACTTTAGCTTCTAAAAATATGACCACAGAAGCCAATTACAAAATGAGTGACTAATGCCTCAGACAATTGCATAAAGCCAAATGATAGGAGAGAATGTGCCAGCTTGGCTATTTGGCAAGTCTTTGGGTAATCATAGTAGAGACTTGATACCAAGGATCAAAATATCGTGTCAAAACAGTCGAAACATTTCCATTTTTAAGGAGACCTTAACGAATCATTGATTGAGTCAAAATTCCAATACTTTGAGATATTTCAGGATGTTGAGTTTTTTCGAGATGTTTCACTATGTTTCCACTAATGTTTTAGAATGTTTTAAGATCTTTAACTATATATAGACCAATACTTTGAAATGTTTTGAACATAAATCATTAAATTTTTATCCATTTTCATTATGTTTCTGAAACATTTTTGAAACATTTTTATTTCTTAGGTGATTGAAACAATGCGCCGAAATGATATTTTGATCCTTGCCTGATACTAAATCCTACTTTCATCCGGCTTGGGGAGTTTTATGAATAATGGGAAGGGCTACCTTTATTATGTTTTCTTTTTGACAATAAATGAACATTTTCGAAAAATATTGTTGTTGGATACAAAAATAAATAGATGCAGATAATTAGTGAAAGTAAAAAATAAAGCATGTCAGCATCCCAACTTGGGGGGGGGGGGGGGGGAGTCACCACTGGCTAAGGGGGCACATGCCAACCCTAAAAACAATTCTTACCTTTATCTATGTATGATATAATTTATTTTTGAAACAACTCAATAAGGCCCACCCTATTATTTTCTTGTGATGTCAACTAGAATAGTCTCATAAATAACTATTAACTTCCCGACATGTTTCAAACACGTTCGGATAGGTGTTCTAACTCAAAAATAAAATTGACTGAAAAACATAGGGTATATCTATTAGTTAACAATTTTGAGACTTTGATATAAATTTTATCGATTGTAATTTTTATTATAGAGAAAGTATTTTTAACAATAGAGATTATAAAAACTTGATTACGTAAGCAAATGGGTGATAAGAGGATGACCGGTAAGGTTATAGTACATATAAAGATAGACCTTCTTAATGGTATTTATAACGAAATTATCATGCAATATTTTCAAATAATAAAACGTCATTAGGATCAACTGAAATGACTATAACTAACCTCATTTTTTTGTTAAATGTTAAAATTAATCTTTTTTTAATTTCTTTTGGTTTTTTGCACTATGTATACTAATTTTTACTCCTATTATGTTGAATGATTTTATTGTGTCAAGAAAATTTTTAATAAATATAAATGTATCATCCTACTTGGCAAAAAAACCTAAAGCTTGTTAAAGTGCCCACCCAAGATTATTTTTCTGGCTCCGCCCCTGCCAACTGCTCTCACCCAGATGCGTGAGGATGAGCATCTTTTCCTAGTGATGACACCCTCCAAAACCAATCATCACGTATTGCCAATAAACGGGTGTCCATCACTAGATAGCATTGACTTATACTGGACCAGAACTAGCCAGAAAGTTCATGTGTTGACCCCAGGTGGGTTCAGAAACACAGATCAAGCTCATCCATTGAATTTCGAGCTTCTGCCCTCTGGCTATACCAAAACTAGCCAAAAACATGAATTGTTGGCAATAAACTAGTTGTTACTTTTTCATTACCGCCTAAAGAAGAATAACACATCAACATGGGAAAAGTGATTGAAACTCTTCGAGAGTTTTCTTCTGAAAGCATTTTGGTTTAAATTACTTGAACATACCTGGTGCCCTGCAAAAGTTTTAATTGGTCGGTTCTCTCCAACTTTACAAACATATATCATCATGTCAGTGGAGCATGTTGCAAATGAAACATCGTTTCGCCAATCAACATCAAGTGTAGGAGCTGATGAAATTTCAGATTAGTTTATCATTAGAAGGAAAAACATTAAATTGGTTTCACACTTCAATAAAATGTCAAAAGCACTTTCTACAAAAGAAAAAGAAAGGTAAGAAAAAAGACACCTGAATGAAATTCAAATTGTTGTCTCCATTCCCCTGTCTTTACATCCCATACAATTGCAGTTTTATCAAAACTACCACTGAGAAGATAATCACCCTTCTTGTTCCACTTCAAAGAAAAGATAGGGCCTTTATGTTTGTTTAAAGTGCTCATCAATTCCCCTGGATAAAGATTCAACAAATAAATAAACTATGAATAAGCAGACTTGCTTTAGAGTGAAGAATAATAGCTGATTTGCACTGCCAAACCACATAAAAATAAATCAAATCCAAATATACAGCATACAATTCTAGTAGTAATCATGCAAGTACAGATATAGTTGTGATGGGAATCAGATTGTCATCCATTATAGTAGGTGTAGAAGTTTAATAGTTTTAGGGTTTTTTGTATTCCTTCTATATATATAGGGGTGTGGTATTTGTTTGAGATACTTTTTCATTATTATTGATTATTGTTATTGTTTGCCCCCCATACTTCCCCACACTCTTTTTCTTTCTCCTGATTTTCATCTCTTCTCATCCCTCAATTCTTCCTCTTCTTAGTCTACATCAAGCTGTCTCAAGTTACTCAATGATATATTCAAAGAAAAATTGGTCCGAACAGACCTCTTCCACTCATGTAAAAAAAATTGATATATACATCCAAGACAATTTCTTCTTTTTCTCTAATCCTGTGTGGATTTCTCTATCAAGGACATAAACCAAAATGTTGAAAAGATGTTTCAACCATAGATTTATAGGAATCTGGTACTGGCTAAGCAATAATGATGGTGGGAGGTTAGTGGTGTCGGGTGATGGCCAAGTAGTGGCAGTCCAGGTGATAATGGGTGATTTGATGATGATGTTGGCCGGTGTGATTTGGGGAAGAGCGCGGTGACTGTGTGGTTTGTTAGTTAGCTAGAACGAGGAAGCGTTTGTTTAGAGAGATTAGCTATTGTGTTGTTTTTCAGGTTTATGCGATAACATTCACACTGCTTAATTTCTTAGTGGTCTACACGATTGGCACTATAAGTCTTACCTATTGTATCGTAACTTCTTGTAAACATAGTAAACAGATTCTTTCTTTTTCTTGGTCATATTTAATTATCATAGTATCCCCTTTTCCATCAAATTGCTAATTGAATATAGACAAAGTTCAGGCAGCCCCAGAACAATTTCCCAGCAAGCCAGTTGCAAGTGTCACTCGACAAGACCTCAAGGGAGGTAAGTGGAATGTTCTTACAAATAAACTGCTGTTATAAAGTATCTCCGTATGATTGAGTTAATTCATGGCTTACTCTAGTATTCAATTATTACTTTGATTTGCCCCGGACATTAAATCCTGCTAAGTATATTAAATTTTCAGATATACATCTTACTGGGGAAAAAAGTTAGATGTACATCTCACTAACCAAAGAAAAAATTTTATGTATAAAACTTACTTCTGAAAACATATTCAGATTGCATATAACAAATAAGAAAATTGTTTTATGGACCCAAATGTTTGGTTAAAGCTTTTGCAGTCAACTGCATATTCTAAAATAAGCAAGTAGATGATTAATTTTTGGCCAATTATACTAACACCCCTAATTGTTTATCAATACTTCGAGAGGCGAGTTATAAAAGGACAGGTTGGTTAGGCCCCACTTGAGTCTACTAAAGTCCTGGTAAGTATATTTTTTCATGTACCATGAATGGTGTATTTTTACCATATTTTGATATTATTTCTGAAGCTTGAATTTATGGATTCATAAACTTATTTACTTGCTTTCTTTACTACTTAAAAGTACCTTCATTTAAATGACTTTTCTTTCTAATTCTTATAGTCTAGGGGTCTTGTAATGGCATCTGCAAGATCATGTCATAAAAAAATACCACTTACCTTCCCTGTTCCATATTCTTGCTTGGCCATCATAAGAGCCTGTGGCAAGCAGTGTCCCCTCTGCCTATATAAAGATCGGCACATTCCGCACAAGAGGAAATAAGTAAACCATGTGAAATATAACATCTACGTGAATGCAACACCCAAACAAAACCAGTACCAACACAAAAGGGGAAAAACACATCTAGCTTGCATCAGAAATTTTGATGTGACTAATAGATACTATGAAAATGTTAACCATAATCATTGAAAAAAAACTCACATTCCAATCAAGTGTTGTCACATCCTTGCTTTTCTCATTTGTTCTACCTTTAAAATGCTTTAGCATGACAACGTTCGGAGGCCCATTTTGCATGCTAGAGCTACAAGGTCCATCTCCAATGGTCCAAATTCGCGCTGTCGAATCTCCAGAACTAGAAATAGAGGAATTGTAAATTTATGTTAAAGAAAAACAACTTTTACAGGGAGAAAAAACAGAACTCTCAAACAGATGCACCTTTGTCATTCCCAAAAAATTTACTAAATAAATGCTGCTCTATTACAAGATGAGTACATAACAAAGGATCCATGGTCCAAAAGGCAGCATTTTTGCAAAAATGTCTATGTCATTATCCGATTTTCTCCAGGTCATATTTTGGATAGAAATAGATTATAGTTCATATAATGTGAAGATCTCCACAGAATTCCATGTGAAAATATGACTACAAAAAAATGTATGATAAATGGAGAGAATGGTTCCTGTAGGAATGATGTGAGAATTGATGCATAGCGCACTCATGTCTGTATAGATCAAAGGTCCATGTAGTTATCTATTTTATCACCATGCAAGATAAAAATGCTCATTGCAATAATACTCTGTCGCCCAGGGGCACCTATAATGTGATCCAATTGAACTTACAACCCTTGACTAACACAGATTATACATGGCATTATTTTTCTATGATTATATCTGTTATCTGAGGTATTAATGTTCACTTATTTTGCAATAATACTCTGAGGAATTAATGAAAAGTTAGCTGATTATATCACTGAGATACAATAAACTTAATGAGTTCAAAGGGTAAGTACACTTTGAATATATTAATACAAGAGAATCCAATGATGCTACACAATAGGGCTTGAAAAGTTGTGTTTCACAAACCTATCTGCCCCTACCCTTGTTTTGTTGGGAATATGCTTAAACACCACTTATCGGTCACATTTAGCATTGCCAATGCACAAGTCTCGATAATAAAAAATTTTAGACCGATAGACAGTAGCTACAACTCTTGAGATTGGGATAATAACAAGAATCAGGCAAACTCTTCATGAAGTTGCGTCCAATAATGAAATAGGTTCAGCATAAGCAGTACTATCTTCACGTCCAATTTGCTAATTTCAGGTGATCCTAGTTTGCTCAGAGTTTAATTACGTCCCTTTGCCAGTTTTACCTTGTTTGTCAACTCACCATAGTTGAATGAAAATTATAATTTACAGCTGCGAAGAAATTCATCAAGTTTTCTGTGTCTTAAATGATTCATTCACAGTGATTTGGCAAAAAGAACACAATAAAATTCAGTACAGGATGCAGTACATGCATGTATATTTGGAAGAATCTAAACAACCCACCAAGGGAGAAGTATTTCTCAATGAGTAGATACGTATAGAAAAAGAGAAACAAAAACTGTAACTATGATCAGAGAATCTATACGATATAAACTAGCTAATCTCTTTTAAAGGTAATTTTACCCACCCAGATGCAAGAAGCGAACCTGATGGACTCCAAGCACATGCAAAAACCTGTCAAGAATATAACATAAGTACATGCTATTACACAGGATGGTCTATCACACCAGAGTTACGAGGAGAAATCTACAGATATTCCTTCCCGAATTAAAGATTGATAATATATTTATGTAAAATAGAAAGGCAAAATGCAAAAAAGGTAACAGACCTCAGAAGTATGTCCTTCCAAAGACATCACATCACAACTTTGGATTTGAATAGGCAAGGGTGTTGAGTTCATAGAAATTTCCATTGGCTCTGGTCCTACATGGATGTCTACAAACAACCTGAATTGCTTACATCTAAAAATCACACATAAATAGCCACAAAAAGAAAGTGCATACAGACTTTATTGCCTTGCTTTGGAGTGTATGGTTGTATGTGCATGTGTGCAGGTGCTTGAGTGAAAGTGAAAAAGTAAGTGTGCATTACCTCCACCAGTTCCATTATCCTCATGTCTTGCAGTAATCTTATCTCCACTATGCTTCATATCAGTGAAATCTTCATGTATCTTTTCCTTCTCTTTACCCTTTTTTCTTTCCCTGTCCTTTTCAATCCTCTCTTTATCACGCTCCTCTTCTTTTTCCTTCAGTTGTTTTTCCTTCTCTCTTTCCCGTGCATGTTCACGTTCATGTTCCCGGTCCACTTCACTAGTATCTTTGTCCTTACCTCTATGCTTATCCTTGTGAAGATTTTCTTTTTTCTCTTTTATGATTTTTTGTAGTTCATCTACATCCTTTGTAATAAGATCCAAGGGTTGCAGAAATGAGAAATCCTCATCCATATCTGCATCATCCTGAAGACCTTAATAAAAATCAGTCAGTTCATATTACCAAGTGAGCACTATAGATAACTAAAAAGTCATAAGATAGATAGAAACATGCTTACATTACCCAAGTTTGCTTCCAACTCGAGATACTGAATTCCTTTTTGCACAAATCTAATAAGAGCACCTGGTGGAACTAAATTGCCATCTATTGTGCTTTTATTTATCCCTGCCTCATATCCTAAAGCAAAGGCTGAATGTGTAAACCCTGAAAGAAATCATATCACCAAAATGGAACAAATGAATGAATGCTAAAATATAAAAAGGTGACAGCTGCCAAACCTGGAAGAAAAAAGTTCCAGGAACAAAAAGGAGCATTTGATATCAGTTTTTGGAGGCAAACCAAAATTACTACTGTTATGCTCACAAATATTCACATACTATATCCGCAAAAGTTCATTATATGAGATTATAAAAAGACTTAAAGGTCACTGCAAATGGCCACATTATTACATAAGCTTATATATGTGTGATCTTTTGGCACCACAAGTAATTTGTTGTTTAATGGGAAGAAACAACCAGTAAAATACACGTATGCTCAACTAGATATGTAATACACATGGGCTGCCAAGCATGATAAAACATATTCTATCAGAATCACAAAGTAAATTTCATGGCACATATCACAGTCAACATCAGCTTTCTTTAACTCTACTATGTTAAGGCTTGCCATTGTTTAATTGAAGTGCTCAATTAAACAACTTCTAAGGGAAAAACTTTGAAAACAAGGTCAATGAATGGAAATACATGACGGTTCATATCTCTTCCTCAAAACCAGTAAAGGTACATACAACCAGTCTTATTTAAGGCATAAAGCTAACCGAAGCGAACCACTCACCAAGGCCTAGGCGCGAAGTGAGATGTTCATCGATGTGAAGCGAACAATTTAAAAACAAGCAATTATTTTAGTTTAATTATTTTTAAATATTCAAGTTCTATCTTCACAAATACTAATAAAATCTCAAATCTTAATGGCAACCATAGCATAAACATTTAAATTCCAAAAAAAGCACTAATAATATCTCAAATCCTAATATTTGAAAATGTAAAACACACAATTCAATTCAAGCAATACTAAACATTTAGTCAATACTTCCACAAATTTTGATTCTTGAGAGTCGAGACCTTACAAATCATCCTCATCACCAAGCAAACCATCTTCTTCATTATCAAATACAAAATTCAATGATTTAATCATCTAACCAAATAAACAGTTACAATAATGTAATTTGATTATTTAATCATCCAACCAAATAAACAATAAAAAATTTAGTTGATAATCAAACAAAAGCAGTCTAAAAAGGCAGAACCAATAACAAAAAAACATAACACAACAATCCAACAAATAGATTAGACCTTAATGACAAAATTCCACAATATAATCAAACAAAATAATAAACCAGTAAGCAACAAATGAACATAACACTGCAAAACAAATTAACATAACATAGCAAATGAGCATAACACATCAGAATAAATGAACATAACAGAATAAATGTCAAAAAAACAACAAAATAGTTCCAGTAGATGAGTAGAAACAGCAAAACCATCACCCAAAAAAAACAGAAACAGGATTCCAAGGGTTACAGCAAAAAAAATAAGAAACAGAGTTCTAGTAGGAGAAGAAGAAGAAAGAGGAGTAGGAGGGAGGGAAGAAGTAAAAGAAAAAGAAGGAGGGGGAAGAAGGAAGGAGAAGAAGTAGAAGAAGAGGAGGAGAAGAAGAACCAAAAAATTGAAAGAACAAGAAAAATAAGAACAAGAAGGAGAAGAGTAACATTTGACTGTGAGCTTCCCAGTCACCAGTGAATGTCGCAAGAAAGGGAAGAATCAAAATATGAAGAAGTAGGAAAAGAGAAGAGGACATACCGTCAGCGTTAATGGCTTCCCGTCTGGTTTTTCAAATCAATTTGTTGATTAGGGTTATTTTACATATATATAGATGAGGCTCAATTGACTATTGTTGACATATATAATTTTTTATCCAATTGGATCAATCCAACGGCCCATAATAGTTTTAAGACTGAAAATAAAAATTTCAGTCAGGCGATCGCTTGCCTAGGCTCACTTTTTCCTCGCTTCTCTAAACATCGCTTCGCCTGAACTGTTTTGGGCAACCTAAGGTCGCCTCATCTCACCTCTCTCCCAGGTGAACGTCTAGAGTGTTTTCAAAACAATGCATACAACAAGTAAAACTTTGAATACCTAACAATTAAAAGTCATTGTCTGGTGCATAATTGTTAGCATCATATATTTTGATACATGAATGAAATGATAAATATCGCTTAGTGTATCGGGTTTGCACTTGATACACCCAATAATAGTCGTCCGATACGACGGAACAAATCAAATTATTATTTATTTTAATCAAAAAATGAAGTCTTTTCACGTGGAAGGAATTTTTTAAAACACTTGGTCATGAAACCGCATTGTTTCAAGTATCTAGGGTTTTAAAAAATAAAAGTCTTCCTTTATTATTTGTTCAATCGCAGCAGCAAATAGTTTGATTGTTAAAAGTGTTCTTCATAGACTCCTTTAGATGTTAGAACTAGAACTCTCTAGATTTTGATATTGATGAATTATTTTAGAAACTTAGATATTTAGATTGTTAATATTTTTTGGGTCCTGATAGTCTTTATAAATTATTTTATGTGAGAGATTTGTTGTGCAATGAAATGTTATTATGACATTTTTTATAGGTATATGTATTTTTTTTAAATCTTTTATAAATTGTACGTATCTTATGATGCACAATATGTTACCAAACGAGATACACTGTTTTTAAAAACGATACAACTTTCGTTACATGTTTTGACAACCTTGGTCTGGTGCAATAGTAAAAGTATAGGGCTAACAAAGTTGTGACTTCAAATATAAGGATAGACCTTTTGCAGAAATGGAGCCGATGGTTACATTTATACTTGCTTCACCGTCCTAACACTCCTGATTAACGGTAACCAAAGGTAATGATCCTTTTGACCTAAATTGCAGGCTGAGGCTCAAGACTCAGATTTGAAGCTCGGCTAATTGCAATCTCGAAAGTACTCTTCAAATGGCCGAGCAACTATAATAATGACTTGTAAAGAATCTTTAAGTTCCATCAAAAAAATAAAAAAGCTACTCCTTGAAAAAGCAAACATCATATGTTGCTCAAGCCAGCCAAATTAAACACTCTAAGTCCCTCAGTGAGGTTTTAATAATTCCTGCCCACAAAAGGGCAAAACAAATTAGTTCAATGTGCAAACTATGAAGCTTTAAGGGCGTACTTTATCAAAACCACAATTTTAAAGTGAAAAGAAAAACAAAACCCTAAAATCAGGAGTTGACAAGTGGGTAGGAACATTCAATATTGAAAGAATAAAAAACAACCATGCCGTTTTAGGCATAATTCATATCCTTTCTTAATTAAGTTAGTGCATTAACGCTGCTTAATGTGATTGATTTGGATTCTAACAATTTATCACTGCCATCAACTAGTATTCTAATACCCTTGCCAGTATTTTTGTTTCGAAGAAGGCGAACACTCAAATCGCTTACCAATAGATAATTCTAAAACAGAAAATCATATATATTTTACGAACAAATCCAATTGTTCCGCCATACAGTTAAATCTCAGAAGCTCAGCGCCTAAATAAATACCTCATAAAGTTGTTCATTAACAACTGAAAAATTTATAGAGCTTTGGACTTCGTACTGAATCACAAACAATAAATTTCACCGTGCGACACTGAAACAGATAGATCCTATTTCTTCGCAGTAAAAACAAAAGAAAACAAAATTAATTTAGCGAAAAATAAAGAAACAAAGACGGACCTGATTCGTGAAGGTAACGGAAGATTAGGTAGTTTAACTCACTGGAAGTAAGGGAGATCATCGTCACAAATCGCCGGCATACAGATTTGAGTGAGTGTTTGTTCGTACCTTTTGGGGGGAAGAGAGAGAGGGAGGGGGGGGGGAGCAGAGGGAGACGTTAGATATGTTTTATTTCAGACCTTCGAATATATTGGAATTAGGTATAAACATATTGAATTACTATAATGCCCTCGATTCCCTTTTAACTTTTAAGAAATTTTCAGACCCTCCTTATTTCAAAGATTCTTATTTAAAAGATCTTTTGGAAGTTGGTATACCTAATTAGACTTATTTGATAAAAAATATATAGAATAAAATATGAGTTAAAAATACGTAAATTCTTATTTTAGGGTCATTTAATTCAAAATCTCTTATCTTTAATACACATTGATTCATGTGTGTTTGTTAATATATATAAATAATACACCTTAATTCATGTGTATTTGTTAATACATATATATATATATATATATATATATATATATATGTGTGTGTGTGTGTGTGTGTATAAATATGTATATACGAATATATATACTTATTTATACACACACACACACACATATATATAAATATATTTGTTGTTAAATCTCTTATTTAAATTTTGAATTATCTTTAATGCACTTTGATTCATGTGTATTTTTTTTTTAAAAGTGATTTTGTTTTTAAATTATATTTAATGTACCTTGATTCAAGCGTTTGTTTTTTTTTTTGAAAAATAATTTTATTTTCAAATTAATTTAATATCCGAATAATATAGTAGTATAATAATAACAATGTAACAAAAACACTATAACAAAGACAGTGTAACAATTACACTGTAATAAAAACAGTGTTAAGTAGTTTGTATATATGGTAACAAATTCAAAACGGAGATGAACTATTTTAAATGAAATTATATAAAACTATATGTTTAACAAAATGTAATAGTACAATATTTTGTGTAAATAACTTGTTACATTATTATTGTTATAGTGTTACACTGTTATTGTTATATTGTTACACTTTTATTATTACATTATTATATTATTCGGATATTAAATTAATTTAAAAATAAAACCACTTTTTAAAAAAAAATACATGAATCAAGGATTAAAAGATAATTCAAAATTTAGATAAAAGATTTAACAATAAGTATATAGATACATAAGTATTCACATATATATATATATATATAGTTATCTCACAAAAGTAAGAGATGTTTAATGCACTATTTCCCAAAGAAAAGTGGTGCATTAAATATAAATGGATTAATGGAGGATAAAAATGTCACAATAAAAATAGATAAATTCAAATTATGTACTTGGATACAAATAAGTATCAAAATTAAGTATTTAATAACCCTAAATTTTTTAATGTGTACTTTTTACCAAATAAATCTATTTTGATATACCTTTTACAATTTACCCTTCGGGTTGGGCTGGCCCAATGCTACTTTATCAACTAGGATCAATCACCCTCCCGAAATTATGGAGGTTTAATTGAGTCACTGGTACGAAAACGATCGACCATCGGAGTTGGAGTCTAAAATCGGTTTTTGAAAATATTTCTATTTTATATTTTTATATAAAAATTTAAAATTCTTATCTTAAATTTGATCTAAATTCATATTATATAACTTAGAAAATAGCCCAAATGTCAAAAAAATAATCCAAATCTCATTCAAAATTGACCTAAATTCGGAGCTGGTGCCCTGCAACTCTGTCGGAGTCAGAATCCACTCTGGGTGTGTTCGGATAATCAAGGAGGATAGGGATAGATTGAATTTTTTGTATCTTAACCTAACCCACTTAAATCCACTCAGGTATTTAATTGGATGAGTTATGTATGTTATCTAGTCCGAACTATTATTTGACAATGAACAATTGAATTAGATGAACCCTACCTTGGTTTTTGTACATATTGACCGTTCTATCCATTAACATATTCAATTTAAGAAAATAATACATATCACAAATAACCTTTTTTTTTTCTTCTTTTTTTTTTAAAGCTGAATAATAATCATCACAGCCAAATCACAAATAACCTCGTGAAGGTTGTCTTCTTTGTATTGCATTCGTGAAAAACATTCAGTAAAATACCAACACAATAAAATAGATAAAAAAAAAAAGAAAATAGAAAAATATCAAATAAAATTTTTTACCCAAAAAATGTTTCTAGGGTTTATCCAGAAATAGTTTGGTTTTGGTGAGATATGTTGGCCTCATTTGGTTCACCTTCCCATGAGGAAGAAGAAGATCCATCACCACCAAATGAATGGCAGCACTTCCATCATCACCAGATTCAACAACGCAGCTTCACATGAAGCTTTTGTTCTTTCATCATACCTATCACTGAACCAAATAACCCAATTCATTAGATTTAGTCAGCTCAAAATTTCTAAATTATTTTTGTCAACAATACAAAATCATCTTCTTTGTTGGTCTTCTAAAATCAAAAACAATAACTGAAGGATTTTTCAACATCACCACAGCAAGATCGACAGTGGTGCCGATGGTTTCTTGAGGTAGAGCTCAAGTCGGTCTCTCCATGAAATCACCGATGAAGATGTTGACGAATCGAGACGAAACTCTCAAGTTGACGTGTTTTCTGTTGATGATTCTTTAGGGGAAATTTGTTTATTTTCTCTATCCATGGTGGAGTTGCAGGACGGAGAGAGAGATAGGGAGAAGGGGGGGTCAGAGTTTTGCACAAAAACCAGAGGTAAAAACAAGAAAAAGATAGGGGCAGAAAGGTAATTACAAAACCAATCCCGTCAGATAGAATTTTAACCCACCACCTAGATTCTCTTTATTTTATTTTTTTATTTTATTCAATATTTTTTTATTGGAGCAATGTTAGGAATTTAATTTGGAGAGTTAATAAAAATGATCAAATTAGTCACGAGTTTTAATTTTAAATGGAGCAAACTTTCAATTGAACAACTGGACTTGATTAAGTCCTAAATTTAGTCCAAATAACAATTTTCTTTTCACTTCGTTTATCTTATTTTTGATGGATCAACAAGTTTCATATATACACATATAAATCTACTGAATATGGGTTGCCTGGTAGCTATTTGTGGATATTTCTGAGTAAAACTTGCCTGGTTATTAGATAGCTAGTAGATATATCCTTAGAAATATTCATACTGTATTCGCTTCATATGATAACTTTATTAGGTTTTGATGTATGTTGGCACGCATTTTATTGGGCTTGCTTTGTTTTCTTTTAACTTCCTTCACTTGTTCCATATACTTTAAAAAAGAAAATCAAGTTCGAGTGAGTAATGAATCTCCTCGCGCTTTATTATTTTAGTGGTTCCAGTTGTAATAAAACTTTGTCCTCCAAAGATGCCGTTGGGCCAATTAATAGCATATTGCCTAGTATGTGGCTTCGTGTGCCCCCAGCAAAAGCTTGTAAATTCCAAAATCGATATGAATACTTTCATATGAAACAAGAAAATCATATAAACTCAGTAGATGTACAGTATTTTCAATTTGAATCACTTTTGGTACCTAGTATTACATGATTTCATAATGTACAATTTAAATATAAAAATGTTTATATTTTTATCTTTATTGAATAACATAATGTACTTTTTATTACTTCACTTACACTTTTTGACTTTTTCTGAAGTGTTGGCCAAACGACCTCCTCTACTTCTATTTCTACTTCTAAGCAAATGCGAACAGCCGGCATTGCAAGCAAATAGAGGGTAACTTGACAGATAAGCTGAGTTGTAGAATCTAACCAAACTAAATGGCATGGGAATGAACCATGCACTTGTTCGCAGACATAAGTGGGCTGTGAGCCTGTGAATGGAGTGAGCTTTTGGGTTTGGATGAGTTACACTTTGGATGAGCCATTGTTTCTTTTGTTGAGAGTAAAATATGACAGAAACATGGGCTAATAAAGTTGGAAGATAAACCTTTGTCTGGTCCTCTTAGCAACAGGTGGTTTATAAAGTGTATACTATTCTGTGCATTGAATTCCACTCATGTACTAGGATATGGTTCATTTAGTTGATCTTGGGCTTTAGTTTGTCTCAATAGGCTCAACTTGGAGTATCCTTAATAATTGAAAGAAATCAGTTCAGTTGAGGGCCCACTGTGCTGGAAAAGTCCATTGACTGTCTGGTGAAGCAAAACAATACATTGTCTAAATGCAGAGAACATCACTAACTTAGGATAGAGATAACCTACCTTTCTCTATCTATACACAAAACACATGCTAGTTTTTTTTACATCAGATGGAGAGACTGTGCTATTATTTATCCTGTTTTCTGCTCTTTTTTTCAAATACTTCAACTACCACTATTAAAAATCAGTTCACGTGCTGGTAAAGTCCTTTTGCTGCCCAAGTAAAGAGAGAAACAATGTAATCTTTTGATGCAGAGAACCACACTAACTTTTTGATTTTGCGATAGACCATGATCGTGGATGGGACTTTCAGGATTTTGGGATGATATATTCTTAGACTGACAACTCTTGCACAAGATTTTAACAACCCCCCCCCCCCCCTCCTCCTCCTCCTCCTCCACCACCACCTCCAACGCACAGGTGCAGACACACTTGCAAGCATTTTGCATCACCATGGAGAGTCTGTGCTATTACATAGCTATCCTACTGTCTGTGCTTCTTGTGATCAGACAGTTCCATCACAACCATAACTTACCACCTAGTCCAGTATCTCTTCCGATAATCGGCCACCTTCACCTTATCAAGAATTCTCTCCACGAAGCATTAGGTTCTATAGCATCCCAGTATGGTCCGATTTTATTTCTTAGATTTGGTTCCAGGTCACTTGTTGTCGTACCTTCTCCATCCGCTGTTGAAGAATGCTTCACCAAGAACGATATAGTATTTGCAAACCGACCTCACTCCATGACTGGTGATCGGTTTACCTACAATTACACTGTCTTTGTATGGGCTCCATATGGCCATCTCTGGCGATGCCTCCGCCGTCTCACTGTTGTTGAACTCTTCTCTTCAAACAGCCTCCAGAAGTCTTCTGTCATTCGTGAAGAAGAAATCCGTCTCCTCCTCCGCCAATTAGTCAGTGCTTCAAAGAGTGGAAGCCAAAAAGTGAATTTGAGATATTGGGTCTCTATTTTTTCGTTCAATGTCATGATGAGGGTGGTTGCTGGGAAGTGGTGTGTTAGAGAGGAGGATGCAGGCTTGGAGATGGAGATGGGCAAGCAAACTCTTGAAAATCTCAGGGGATTATTCTTTATAATCAGGCCCATGAATATTTGTGATTGCTTTCCAATTTTGCGGTGGCTAGGCTACAAAGGGATAGAGAAGAGAATGATAACATTGCAGGGTAAAAGAGATGAATTCTTACAGGGTTTTTAGATGAAATTCGACTAAAGAAAACTCTTTCTTCCAAGTCCAATTCCATAATGGATGGCATGAAGACGAAACCGTTGATTGAAACTCTCTTGTCTCTCCAAGAATCAGAACCTGACTTCTATACAGATGATATGATCAAAAGTATTATAGTGGTGAGCATACTATCTTTTTTGCTGGTAATTCTTCTGTTTCTTTCCTTATTATGCATTTGAAGGGGTTCTTAAAAGCCCGAAGACCAACTCCGCGGTACATCTGCCATAGCTATTGACTGAAATTACTAGCTGCATTTATTTTTCATTACTTTGTGGTGTTTGGTTATGCTTTGAAGACCTACTTTACATAACTGCTTAAAAATTTGGGCCTAACAATTCTTTTTTTGCCATTCACTACAAGCCATCCTCCTGTATTAAGGTCTCGCTGTTGGTATTGAATATAAAAACTAGGGATGGGTGCTCTTTGCTTCTATAATTCTTGTATCCAACTTAAAGTTCTAGGACATAGTGATTGACTGGTAGGAATGTAAACTTGCTGTTCTCGTTTTCTAAAGCTATTTATCCCTGATATTATAAAAGCTTTTCACAAGGTAAATAAAACTCCCATATACAAAATTATATATAACCCGGCCATTAAAGAAAACAGAGGTCCCGGATAACAGATGGGGAACCTCCCTGGTATATGTTTACCACGTTTAATTACAAGCAACAGTCACCTCACTGGATTTTTTTGGCTACTATGAGGTATTAATTCTTCTCATGTTCAAGTGAAGCAGGTTCATGCATCTCTAAGGGCTAACTTATGCAACCTGCATAAATCATTTGTGTTCAACAGAAAATATGATAAATTGAACATTTTGATTGAGATATGATGGTGAAGAGTAAATTGGTAAATTCGAGTCTAAATTTTAGTTGGGCTTTCATGCCTTGAAATTAGTTTTGAATCCAGAAAATCTTTGGATGCGGTGTTATATATGCATCTTGTTTGAGTTGCTGTCTTTTGTCCTTTGTATGATGCATTCCATCCTATCTCACAAAAAGTGGCAGCTACCATGACAAAGGAAAGTTGAAAAGTTTGAAAGAATCAAATGCGAAAAATTTGAAACAACTATGTTCCATGAAAGTTGAAACCAATCCTACTCCACGAGTTGTGTTGTTGGCTCCAGATCTCTTCAGTAGGCAATTCTAATTTAGGGGGTTTTGTAACTTCCAATCTCTCTATTTTTCTTTTGTTTTCAGTTCTATACAGTGTTTCTCAATTTGTAAAAAAAAATCGATTCCATATAGGGGTTGTGACAGGCTTAGTTCGGTCTGATGTTTGAGCTTGCAGCTCTCATGTCAAGTTTTTAAAATTGTTGAGATAACATTGCCTTAGACATTGACCATGAAGATGTGTTCCTAATATGATAAGCAATGTGTGCTTCAGATAATGTTTGTAGCAGGAACAGAAACATCAACTGTGTCTGTAGAATGGGCAATGTCACTTCTTCTAACTCACCGGTAGGCATTGCATAAGGTGAGAGCAGAGATTGACAACCATGTTGGATACGGGCGCTTGCTGAAGGACTTGGACCTTCCCAAGCTTCCTTATCTCCGATGCGTGATCTATGAGACCCTCAGATTGTATCCTCCAGCGCCACTTCTGCTGCCACACTTATCATCCGAAGATTGCACGGTGGGGGGATTTGAAATTCCGCAAGGTACTACCTTGATTGTGAATGCTTGGGCCATGCATAGGGATCCCAAAGTGTGGGAGGAGCCCAACAAGTTCAAGCTAGAGAGATTTGAGGCAATAGAAGGGGAAAAAGAAGGGTTCAGGTTCATTCCATTCGGGATAGGGAGGAGAGCATGTCCTGGAGCCGGTATGGGCATGAGAAATGTTTCCATAGCATTGGGTGCACTTATTCAGTGTTTTGAATGGGAGGAAGAGGTTGGGCAAGATAACATGGACATGAGCTATAATTCTAGTTCTACTCTGCAAAAGGCCAAGCCTTTGGAGGCTGTGTGCAGACCACGTGAAAGTTCAATTCTCCTCCTCTCCCAACTTTGAGATTGAAGTATAGTTTAAGGTCTACATTTCAAGCCGTTAAGTCAGTTATGTGGCTTTTTTTATCTCTTTTTTCATTTTCCATTTCTAATGAAAATCCTTAAGAGATATGTGGATGTAAAAGTCGAAAATGGAGAGACACTGAAGATCGATGTTCTGTTTAATTTGAGATTGTAAATTGTAATGGCAGCATTGAGATAACCAATGACATAAAATTGCTCTTCTGTGAGAAACTTCCTTGCCTTTACTGAAATTGGGATGCAGATCCTCTGCTGTTCGGAAGGAACAGCACAGCCTGCTGTTTGGAAGAAACGGCACCGTTTGGTGCCTTTTTGAAAAAACCAATCAGACCTAAAAAAAAAAAAAGCCCTAAAATCAATCAAACCATAAAAAAAAAAAAGAAAAAAAAGCCCTAAGGAACTGTACAGCCTGTTTTAGTATTAATACACTAGTTAGTCTTTTTTTTTTTCCATCGATAATGGAGTCCGTTGTAGTTAATGAACGGCACAACAGACAAGCTTCAACACTAGATAAAAAAAAGGACTAATTAGTGTATCAACACTAAAACAAGCTTCAATGTATTTCTTTTTTAAAATTTTTTGAACAGTATATTACATGAAGAGGGTGGCGACAAAATTCATACCCACGATCAATATAAATTAACAACAAACCAAAACATCACAATTTAAATCATATCATAAAATTTAATAATGATCAAAGAAATCAACAAAACAATCGAAGATTCAAAATTTTTAAATTTAAATTTAGGTCAAGAAAAATCTAACTAATTTTTTTTTAAATTTGTGGGTGTGTATGTATATTCATCTCTCTCTCTCTATATATGAGTGTGTGTATACATATATTTACTTAAAAATATTTAAAATTGACATAAAAATACCTGAAATGGACAAAAGACGAATCGCAAAACCAAGAATTGAAGGAGTTGTTGTTTGTTTTTGGTGTAGAATGACGCCAAATTGTTGTTCTTGGGACCGTTCAAGAACAAAATGGAATGGTGTTGTTTAACGGTGAAAAAAAAAAAAGAAAGCAAACTTAACCGAACAACAGGTTGTGTTGTTAGGGGTGACAATCGAGTCGTGTTGTGTCGGGTTCATGTCGTGTTGAATATTAGTAGTGCCGAACATTAGTCAACTCATACCCAACCCATTTAACTATTCGTGTCGTGTCGAATTGACCTGTTTATTTTTGTATCGTGTTCGTGTTCATATTCGTGTTGACCCATATAAATTTTGAATAAAAAGTTTAACGCTAAATTTTTTTTTTTACTTAATTGAATTTTTCTTCATATTTTTTCTACAAACTAAAAATTAATTTAATAATAATAATAATGAGTAATAATATTTTTTTATACAATAATTATGTCAGTGCTTAATAAACAGTTACAAATAATTAAAATTTTATTTCTATAATACTAATTAAATATGTTAATCGTACATCATACAACCAAATTAAACATCAGAAGTAATGGAAAAAATAAGTCATCAAAATATGAAAACTCATACATGCAACAAAAAGGTCAGGTCAATCTCCTTCGAGTTAAAAACTTCGTGTTGACGAGTCAATTCATGTTAAACGGGTTGAACCCGAACACGACTCATTGACACTTCGTGTTGACGGTCGTGTCATACAAGGCTTGACACAAAAAATTAGTCAATAAAACTCATTTATTCGTATCGTATTTCATATCGGGTTTATCGTGTCATGTCAAAAATTGACACTCCCATGTTCTGTTCCTTAGGGTTTTTTTTTTTTTTTTATGGGTCTGATTGGTTTTAGGGTTTTTTTTTTTGTTTTTTTGGGTACGACTGGTTTTTTCAAAAAGGCACCAAATGGTGTCATTTCTTTCGAACAGCAGAGGATTCGCATCCCAGAAATTAGTGCCATAATATATGTAAGCAGTTATATTAAAAAAAAAATTGCTATTGAAATAAGGAGTGGGGGCAAAAAAAATGGTCAAGATACTATCTCGATAGACTTTCATTGATGTGATTATGAAACTCTTGATCGTATCCGTTATTTTTCTTAACAATGAACTTAACTAAGCTAGTATAATGATCAACTACCGAATCTTAATATAAACTTTAAGATTCAAACTTTTAATCCTAAGGTGAGAGAAGAACTTTGTTTCAAGTTGAAACACCAAAATGCTTGACACAACTCTCCTTTTCTTTTCTTTTACATTTTTTTTTTTGTAATGGGAAATCTTTTTAATCATTTGTGTGGCGTCAAGGATGCAAGGCAGACACCACATGTATGCGTTTACCTGCATGCTCATCCGTTAACCATGGGTTATATACAACCATGCATGGATACCTGAGGTCATATACATATATGAAATTAGACCTCCAATTAGTTTTACCAAAGCTTCATCCGGGTCCTGAATTGACCACCAAATTTATCTTTTCTATTATCACCATATTTGACGCTTTTTTAGCCCTTATATTACTGAAAAAATTATCCAGTAATGAATTAAAATATTATTTGCTAAATATGAAAAAAGATGCCTAAAAAATTAAATTTGAAATATTTTAAAAAAATTGTAGAAATAGTTACAAAAGATTTAGGGAGTGGTTATATAAGTCAAATGCAATAATTTAATTGTAAGGGGATTAATGAAATATTTAAAAAAATTAAAAATTAAGTATTTGGGGAGGAAAAACTTCTCAAGCCATACCAGCTAAAAAGTATTTATTATATATATATATATATATATATATATATATATATATATCTTACTCCTTGTTTATTGAATCGACCCTTAATGGTTCAACCATTTTTACTCTCTCTTATTTTTTGTTTATATTTTTCAAAGAAGTCTAGATGGGATTAGGCTATTATAGCGTTGTGCTTGAAGTCAGGATGGGGGTGTTGGATTTTGATTCTTGCCATCAATGGAAGAGGCAAAAGAGCATATGGTCGAGAAAAATAAGTGTTAGTCAATAATGTCCTTATTGGGAGGTGTTCTTACCTAGTTTAAGTCACGGCAGTAACTTATTGAGTTTGAAGAAGTAGTCATCGTAAGTCTGAATTTCTTGTAACAAGTGGTGGAGGGAGGGAGGTGTTTGGGCCTTAAAAAAATAACTTTTTTTAGTTATATATGTTTTATATATTTTTTTAAATATCCTCAATTGGTCCATCCTAATAATTTAAGAAAAATAAAATTAATTGGGTCAAACAAGTTGTGTATTAAAACAAAAAAATAAAAAAAATCCCTACCAAATCTCTTAAAGTCAACAAACTAATATTGATTGGTATCCTTTGGTCCCCTAAGATTCAAAAATTATAGAATATACACATAAAAATGAGTAAAATATGAAATTTATAAGAAGATTAAACAATTATAGAATATTACTTTTATTTGTGTCAAATAAATTGTATAATTATTGATCATTGATGTATAAATGCTATTTTATTAATAATTTTCAAATAGGAAGTATCAAATACAATGTCAAAAAAATAAAATATAAAATTATTTTAGCTATTGGAGGTCAAAATAAAACTTATTCCTGACTTGGCCACCGCGGTTAAAGATTAAAGGCTAAAGATGCGGTCTGACATACCTTTATTGCTCAGGAAAATATACTTTCCAAGAAAAACCAAACATGGGGGAAAATATAATATAAATGGGAGTGTGCTTATGGTCTTACGCAAGAGCTTAGTCGTATATGATTGATTTTACATGGAATCTTGGTATGTCCTCTGCTAATGTACTCATTGGTCTTGTGGTCATTGTCTTCTTTGTCTGGTTAATTTTTAGTGATTTGGGGGAGCTTATCGTTGTGTGGCAAACAAAATCATTCAATGTATTTGTGGGGGATAGGTCTGAAATGCAAGCACAACATTAAAAAGGAAGTGTGACAGAGAAGACTGAGACCTCACATACTGTTCTAGACACCCTTTTGTTTTTGTTTTTTGGGGGGGGGGGGGGGGGGGGGGGGAGATTTTTATTTTTTTAGTACCATATCAAAAAAACTGAAAAAAAATTATCAATAAATAATAAATAAATTCAAAAGGTTGGTGCACCCACAAATTAATAAGATCCACTCAAAAAATGATATAAATATTCAAAAAAAAATGATTAGTGATACAACATCAAAATTCTAACCTGGTATTCAATAACAATTAAGATGTCATTAATGATTTAAGCAGTCAGTAGGAACACCAACAAATTAATAAGCTCCATAAAAAAGATAATATAAATACAAAATAGAATACCAAAATTCTACAGGGATATTCAACAACAATTGAGATGTCATGAATGATTTACGCAATCATCAAAGGTCCTCTGTAATAATCAAGTTTATAATAATGTGTTGGAGAAACATAACTGATGATGCTAGAGAATGAACCTCCGATCACCTAACGAGATTGCTAGCTTGAGTTGTTCATTGATCAACGAAGGGAACCACTTGAAAAGACAAGTTGAAGATTGAAAGGGTTTCAAGAATCGACTCTTTGATGTTTAAGTTAGTAAAAGAATGAGAAAATTGAATAAAAGATGGGAATTGAGATTGCTTACCTTTTTGATCTTCTTTCCTCTCTTTTTATAGGCAGCATGTTACCGTTGGAAATTATCCCTTTGTTTGAATTGGGGTGAATCCCAAATTATCAATAGTTGAGTGAAAATGTACTCTTTATTTGAGTGAAAATTTTAAGCTAAACTGAATTAGTCAAACGTGAAGAGTTAGGAGGTTGACAAGCTAGTGAGCAAGAGTTTTGTTGAATTGTCAAGCTGTCGAGATCTGGCTCAAATTCTCATCATCAATAACTATTGAATCATGTGCGCAGTCTGTCAACTCAATTCAATTTAACAAAGTGTTGTTCTAATAATATTAACCATCATGTTAAACCACTCTAAGGTAAGAAGCAATGTGAACATTTCCACTTGTCTCTTTCTCATGCAAGCGAGGACACAAGAGAAAGACCAACAAATAACTCCACAGTCTTACTCCAACTTCACGCCGGTGTCTTCTCCGACTTGCAGGGACCTTGGATGTAGAAGACGAAGCTAGCAATTTTCACCATCAACCTTGACGTGAATATCAGGTTACCAACCGATAATAAAACATCAAATAAATAAAATGAATCCACTGAAATAGTTTTTGATTTATATGAAAAAAGTGGATAATTACCTGTTTACATATATATATATATAGTTATTGACTTGTGTGCGATTTACTTGTTTATTTGTCTATTTAGTATTGATCAGTGATATTATGTGATAATATTGACGGTATCACCGTTGTAATTAAAATTTTTTTTTGAAAAAAATATTTTTTAGACTTAAAAAGTAGATTTAAAGTGTATATTTTATAATCATAATCATCGACTAAGTAGAGATCTTAATAAATACTAATTGTGATTATCTACCACACAAGTTCTGATAAATTGCTCTGTTTTTTCCTCGAGGTGATACATACATACATACGGCACCATAAAACAATGGGTAATAGTGAGTCCCATCCCAAATCAAATAATGTAGCATAGTTTTTTATTATCAGATAATTAAATCCCATTAATATTATACCACATTATTTGGTATGAAAATTTTGATAAAAGTTTTTGGTAAGATAGCATTTTCCTTTCCTAAAACAATTATTTTGCAGAACCCTCTCCCTCTCCCTCTCCATCATCATGGATATCCTCTACAGCTTCCTGGCTCTCGTCTTGTCCACCTTCATCATCCTCAAACTTCTCTTCTCAGGAAAAGAAAAACTTACCACCTGGTCTACCGGCTATTCCCATTCTCGGCCACCTCCAACTCCTCAAACCTCCACTCCACAGAACCCTGCAGTCCCTCTCCTCCCGCTACGGCCCAATTGTTTTCCTCCGGTTCGGAAACCGTCCGGTCCTCCTCGTCTCCTCTCCCTCCATTGCCGAGCAATGCTTCACCCAATTCGATGTCATTTTCGCGAACAGGCCCAAGTTTCTTGCCAGCAAACACCTAGGCTACAACTACACCACCGTTGGGTTCGCCCCTTACGGTGACCACTGGCGTAATCTTCGCCGCGTCACTTCCATCCAAATCTTCTCCGCCACCAGTCTTAACCATTCCTCCGCCACACGAGACGAAGAGATCCGTTTCGTGGTCCAAAAACTGTTTCAAAAATACGATGGAGCTGCACAGAAAGTTGACCTGAGTTCTTTGTTCCGTGAGTTGGTGTTCAACGTGATGACAAAGATGGTAGCCGGAAAACGGTGGGCAGGGTCTGCTGAGTTGTTCCGGCCAAGCTCGCTGATGATGAATGCATGTGACTGTGTACCGTTTTTGGGGTGGGTTGGGTTGGGTTTGGAGGGCTGGAGAAGAAGCTGGTGGATTTGCAGAGGAGGAGAGATGTGTTCTTTCAAGGCCTGATTGATGAGCATCGACGAAGCAAAGCTGGTTTTTCTTGGTCTGAACAAAAGAAGATGATCGTTGAAGACTTGTTGGCTTTACAAGAAGCTGAACCTGATTGTTACACTGACGATATTGTCAAGGGCATCACTGGTAAGCATATTGACATGTTTTAATTACACAATATACGTGGTCTAATCACCGGATTTGTGTTTAAGTTTGGATTATACTTTGAACAGAGTTACAAAGATCTTTTATTATTATTATTATTATTATTGCTAATTAAAAAGGTATGGGGTGGGTTGTTTTGGGTGGGGGGAGTAGATTGAAATTCCTGTCAGGACTTGTTCATAGTAGTCTTTACCCATTTGGGAAAGTCCTCCAGATGGCTTAGACGATAAAAACTTGCGGACGCTCTCTAAGGACGATTTTATTGGCTTAAATCATTGTGGCTTTGAATTAGTAACAAATCTTAATGTTAAATAAGGTTCACCATCAGTAGTGAATTAAACAACAAATTAAGTATGAATAATATTATTGTTATATTTTAGGTTCGATTTTGTGTTTCAGATGATTGTAGAATAAACTTGCCTGAATCTAATTACAACTTTTTTTTTTATTGGATTTATTAAGTTGTCAATCTTACAAGTGACCCTTTCCCATAACATTGTCGTATGTTTTAAACTCGCTTGAATTACGGTGGTCAGTATTTCAAGAGAGTAGTCAAGAAAAAAAATCCCAAAAAAACTGTCCATATTGGAAAATTCCATTCATATCATAGATTGGCTTCACATTTTTTGTTTTTTAGTTCCTTAGGCTTCACATCAGTGAGTTTATAATTCTATTCTAACAAGCTCTGCTCCTTTTAGTTAATGTTCTCAGCAGGAACCGATACTTCAATACTCACAATGGTATGGGCCATGTCACTTCTGCTAAATCATCCAGAGATTCTGGAAAAAGCTCGAACTGAAATCAGAAACCAGGTCAAGCCAGGGCACTTGGTGGTGGATTCAGATCTCCCCAAACTATCCTACCTTCGCTGCATCATCAACGAAACACTGCGATTGTTTCCAGTTGCACCACTTCTTGTGCCTCATGTGTCATCTGCAGATTCGGTCATAGATGGATTCGACGTTCCATGTGGAACGATGTTGTTGGTGAATGCTTGGGCCATTCACAGGGACTCCAAGGTGTGAGAGGAGCCTAAAAGGTTCATGCCTGAGAGGTTCGAAGGGATTGAGAAGGGAGGGGAGGGGTTTAAGTTTATACCATTTGGAATGGGGAGGAGGGGATGCCCCGGTTCTGGCTTGTCTATGAGGCTAGTTGGGTTGGCACTAGGAACTTTGATTCAATGCTTTGAGTGGGAAAGGGTTGGGTTTGAATTGGTAGACATGGAGGGAGGGAGTGGGCTAACCTTGACCAAGGCTAAGCACTTAGAACCGCTGTATAGACCACACTCTTGCATGACAAATTGCCTCTCTCACCTTTGAGTTCTTTCCAGTTTTTGATGCTTGTGGCTGCATAAAATAGTAATGCAGCCATTTTGGTGGACAGTAGCTCCAACATGATGGCCATGAGGTCCATGAGTCCATGACCATTCATCAAAGGAAAAGTTTATTGTCAAATTTTTTCAATGTTATGGTCCGGGTAAATTTCTACTTCTTTACCTGATTTTAGCTATTTGTTAGGTCCGATGTTGGTGTATTACTTTCCTGACTAATGTTTGCCCTTGATTGGTTCGATTTGTATCTCGACTCTTTGGTGGCATATATAAATATTTATATTACATCATTTATAATACCTTAAGCTTTTGGTGCAATTTTTTTTGTCCAATAATCAATTTCGTATAATTGATTGTTTAACATGATCTCAGAGGTAGAGGTTCGGCATTCGAATCTCACATCCCCTCTTTTTAATAAGACAAGCTATAATGGATGCTAATGTTTAGGGTAGAAAAATGATCAGGTAAAGTAGCTAATAAGAGCCTCCCAGATGTCATGCTAATTGTTTTAATCTTCAAGTAACTAGGTAATCCATTTGACTCCTACACTACTTTTTGGTTTTGCACTCCAAAATTGATTCCCTTTGGCTGCATACAAACAAGATCATCAACTGTAGAAAGATAGATCTCACCTAATCCATTTGACTCCTACAGTACTTTTTTGTTTTGCACTCCAAAATAATTGAATCCCTTTAGCTGCATACAAACAATATCATCAACTGTAGAAAGAGAGCTCTCTCAAAGTTGAAGAAAGAGGGCTTTCTCAGGGGTGACCAACAAGCAATAGAGCTGAGAAGATGAGGGATGAACAATGGTTCAAATTGATTATCTTGGTCTCCATATTTTTCTTTGTTCTCAAATTCATCTTCTCCAAACACGTAAGGCCAGGCAATCTTCCACCGAGTCCACGGGCTCTTCCAATTATTGGGCATTTCCATCACCTAAAGCAACCAATTCATAGAACTCTGGACAAACTCTCGAAAAAGTATGGTCCTGTCATGTTTCTCAAGCTTGGAACTCGTAAAGTAGTTGTAGTTTCATCTCCAATGGCGGTCCAAGAATGCTTCACAACGAAGGACATCATATTCGCGAACCGCCCTGAACTGCTTGCTGGAAAACTACTCAATTACAACAACACCACAATGGGTTTCTCTTCCTATGGCGATCACTGGCGAAACCTAAGGCGCCTCACAACTGTAGAAATTTTCTCCCCAAAACGTCTAACCATGTTTACAAGTATCTGGGAAGATGAAGTCAATTTGATGATGAAGGAACTGTACCAAAAATCCCGAGAGAAGCCCATGAAGGTGGAGTTGAGGCCAAAGTTCATGGAACTTTCGTTCAATATTATGGTGAGAATGATAGCGGGAAAAAGGTACTATGGAAAGGATGTAGTGGATGAAGAAGCGAGGCAGTTTCAGGGTATTTTGAGGGAATCGATGGAGCTTCATGGAAGTTCAAATTTGGGAGATTATTTTCCTTTCTTTCAGTGGGTTGACATTCAAGGGGTACAGAAGAGGATGGTGAGGTTGATGAAGAAGATGGATAAATTCTTCCAATTCCTAATTGATGAGCACCGAAAAATCAGAACCAAATCAAATGTATCATTGGGTGAATCAAGTGGAAGCACAGAAGAAAGGAAGAAGAAGAAGACTTTGATTGATGTTATGTTATCACTGCAACAAGAAGAACCAGAATTGTACTCGGACACAATTATAAAAAGTGTTATACTGGTAAGATCAAGGTCTCTAAATCTTGCCTCTTCCGAAAAAGGCGCAACTATAAAGACTCGATCTCTCTTGTCTTTAGTCCCCATTGTGGACTCTGATTGCTTCAAGAAGCATGACAGATCAGTAATTCAAAGTTCAGTTAGTAATCGGTTAGTTTCTCGCTCACTAACTTAAACATGTTTGTAGGCTATGCTTGTTGCTGGGACAGAAACTTCAACAACCATCATGGAATGGGCAATGTCACTTCTCCTCAACCATCCACAAACCATGAAGAAGGCCTTGGCTGAAATCGAGACCAACGTTGGGCAAGGCCGCCTGTTGAATGAGCAAGACCTGCCAAAACTGAAGTACCTACACAACATAATCAGTGAAACACTGAGGTTGTTTCCTGCTGCTCCACTTCTTCTGCCACATGAGTCAGCAGATGATACAACTATCTGTGGATACAACGTACCACGAGGCACAATGTTGTTGGTCAATATATGGACACTTCAAAGGGACCCCGAGTGCTGGGAGGACTCGACAAAGTTTAATCCAGAGAGATTTGAAGAAGGGGAAGCTGAAGGGTATAAGATGATTCCATTTGGTGCTGGAAGGCGGGCTTGTCCTGGGGCTACTTTGGCAAGGCGAGTGATCGCTTTGCTTTGGGAGCCTTGATTCAGTCCTTTGAATGGGAAAGGGTTGGCAAAGAGGAGATTGACATGACAGAAGGGATAGGTCTAACCATGCCAAAAGCCAAGCCCTTGGAGGCTCTATGTAATCCTCGACAAACCATGATCAATCTCCTTTCTGGACTGTGAATCATATGACCAATTGATTGAGGCGACTGCTCGCATAGTTTTCGTCAATTTCGTTGTCTTCCACAGGTTTACTTTTGTTGCAGGGCCTTGATCATCATGTACCGTTGGTAAAGCTTGTATTGTTGTTTGGATTTATATTTTGGCTCCCTGGCCTGGGTGGCGCTAATGCCTTCCTCTGGGTAGGTCTGTGCTTGTTTCTTGGCGTTTAAGCCCACTGTAAACTTTTACAGTATATCTTTGCTGTGCGGAATAAATAGCTTAAGATGCAATAAAGTTGGTGTATTTGTATTGGAGTATATGTTATTTAACCCTCAAGCCAAGTAAGCAACTATGAAACAAGAGTGCTCTGTTTTGAGGCTGAGGCATTATTTTTGGAATAAACAAATTTTGTTACTCAACTTAAATAATATGAAACTGATACATCACAATCTATTTATAATGTATGTAAATGAGTTTGTGTTGTGTATAGTGAGATCATACCATGTATAATTATAGTCATATCAACCTATTTATTTGATGAATTAACGTGTCTGTTCTGTTAGCACTCAAATCAACCAAAACTAATAAATTTAAGTACGCTAATTAGTATCAATTTCGTTTTAAATTCAAATGGAAGCTAGTCTCGCATCAGATCAGATATGAAAGGTGGAGCGTCATTTTGGATGATCATATGATGATGTTGGTGGTGGAACGTGGTACGTGGTAATTTAAAATTTTCCAGTTCAATCATTTTTTATACTTTTTAAAAATTAGTCATTCTTATTTTTTTAAAAATATATTCTCTCCGTTCTTAATTAATATTTTTTCTTCAAAATTTATCCTTAATTTTTCAATGCATTAGATTAGGTGGAGGTTAAGTGTTTTTTATATTCATTTTCTTCCTAATACATATTGAACGAGGATATTTTAATCTTGTATAATTATTTTTTACTCACATTAGAGCTATTTAATAACTTGTTTAATTTCTGTATAAAAATCTTAAACAACAAATATTTAAGAACAGATGAATGAATGGAGTGCTTTAATACAATTGAAGTCATAATAATCGTTATATTCAACGAGTAATCGGCACAAATAAAAATAATGCGTCATTGAAAAAAATGATTGATGTTAATGCAACATATACTTGCCTTCCACCACTGCTGCCCAATTTTAAATGCAATTAAATAATCTTCTCCCTCGGTCCGCTTCCAGAATGACCAACAACATTGAAGAACAAAACGAGGTCACAGGATCACCACTCGCTCAAGACCAAGATCCTAAAACCCCCCCAACAACGACAACAACAATGGCTGAAACAGAAGAACCTCAGACCCAACAACATCATCCTGAGACCAAGAAGCCACCACAAATTTCATTTAGCATTTGGCCACCGTCACAGCGCACTCGCGATGCCGTCATCAATCGCTTGATTGAAACTCTTTCTACCCAATCGGTGCTGTCGAAACGCTACGGTACGCTGCCGAACGAGGAGGCTTCCGAAGCGGCCAAGCGCATCGAGGAGGAGGCTTTTGCAGCGGCAGGGGCATCAGCCTCCGATGAGGACGATGGCATCGAGGTGTTACAGGTGTACTCTAAGGAGATCAGTAAACGGATGCTCGAGACTGTGAAGTCTAGATCTGTTTCGGCGTCGACGCCGGTGAAACCTTCGGAATCGGCTGGTGGGGATCCCACTAGCGTTGCCTCCAGCGAGGAGATCTCATCTGCTGTGACTGAGGCTTGAAATCGTTGAGGTTTTCTAGGGTTTTGAGATTTGCATATCTGCTAATATTAGGGTTTCGATTTATTTGGACTACTACTTTTGTGTTCGCTAGATCTAATTGCACTATCTATGTTCGATCGTGGATTTGTACTATTTACGAGTTTCTTATATAAATACCTATAATTAATGTTTCTGCGAAATTCCTGTGATTCTGTGCTTCGATTGTGTCCCTCTTTTCTTGATCTGACGATATTTTGTAGATAGGGTTTTTGTGTGTGTGTGTTATTGTGATGATAGATAAACACAATCTTGCAGTTTATTTTGAATTTTTTTTTTTTTTTTGGTCAGCAGTATATTTTGAATTGAAGTTTGATACTTTTGCTTGTTTTCTGATACATATTGCTGGATGTGACTCGTGAGAATTGCAATTGTATGATGTTTTTGGATTGTAAAATGTGATGATTGTTGCTTGACATATTTGAGGCTGTTGAACTGTTGTAAAGAGAATTGTGATTATTGTAGTGTTGTGTATTATTAGATAGACGTCGTGTTTTTAATTGAACATGGAACAAAAGGTTGTCATAGATGTTTCCGAAATGGGATTCAGGTACTGAGTCTGCATTGGTGAAGATGCAAACATTTTTGTCGATAGTTAGTCTGTTTTAGTACTAAAGTTCCCATTTTAATACTTGTGGTGGCATTTAGTTATAATTTAGAACTTTTAGGGAATATCATGGTTTCTAGTTTCTACTAGCAATTAGCATGCTCTCATAGAAGTGAGATACCGATCTGTGAATATTTATTTACTTGTATATTATGAAGATTTATTGGCACTGGTCCAAAAATAATTGAAAGAAAGATCGAAAGAAAACGGGTTTTATACTTAGATTGAATATAGAATAAACACAATGATAACGAATCAATGTTTTTAACTTGTTCCTACTCTATTCCGTTATTGTGTCCAATATATCATGAATTATCTTGAATTATTTGTAAACGTTTTGATTTTTCCCAAGTGTTTTTGCAATCTGAATTCTTCACTTCATAAATGGATCTCTCTATGAATGCAATGACTGCAAAACCTACAATGCTAATTTTTCCATAGAACCATTATGTTTCTTTTAGTGTAATTGATTGTGCAAGTGTAACTAGTAATTCTTGTGAGTCTCCATATTCTCTGACCAGCTTATGCCAAGGTTGCTTTTGATATTGTACTAAATTGCAGTTGTTTACATATTCCGAACTAAAAATGAACTAGGTCTCTCTCGTAGTCCATTAAAGTATGACCTACAACTATGAAACTGACTCTATCCAAAGATGAAGATGATTGGTGTACTCGTGAGAATTAGTTCTATGTATTGCTGAAAATCAGTCTTAGTCCATGGCCCTTTATTTCTAGGACAGGAGTTATGCCATGTTGTATATGCTAATGAGTATGGCAGACCATTTGCAGAAATTAGTCTCTCATGGACATGGTGTTTTTCTTTGGGAGAAGGCTATTGTACATCCCCATGGATTTTCGGTACCATACCGAAAATTCCAAATTACAAAATTAATGGTATGTTTACTAAATTTATAGTATATTTACACCGGTTGATAGATAAGACAAGACATACCGTCTAGCAGCCATTAAGTCAATTGAGGGTAAAATTATAACATTAATGGGAAGTTTACGACTATCGTGAACAAAATTACAACATTAGAGAAAATTTTATAACATTTGTGGGAATATTTACCAAATTTGTTGGAATATTTATAACTTCAATTGTATATTTACTAAATTTGTGGGAATATTTACAATTTCAGTTGTATGTTTACCAAATTTGTGGAAATCTTTACAACTTCAATGGATTCATTACTAGTCCATGATCGATGAAATATAGTTTTGATCGATCAAATATTTCCAACACATACCACTGAGGTTGTAATTATTCTCATAAAAGTGGTAAATGATCCATTGAAGTTGTATATCTTAGATTAGTTGTAAAATTTTCATATATTAAGCACACGTGTGTTCTGATCAATCAATCATATATACTGATTGATCATGGACTAGTGATTCACTTTAATTACCAAATTTGTGGGAATATTTATAAATTTAGTGATATGTTTACCAAATTTGTGGAATTCTTTACAATTTCAATGGATTTATTACTAGTTCATGATCGATTAAATCTTCCCAACACATATCACTGAGTGAGAATATTTACAACTTTAATGGTATATTTACCAAATTTATGGAAATGTTTACAACTTCAGTAATATGTTTATCAAATTTGTGGAAACCTTTACAACTTCAATAGATTCATTACTAGTCCATGATCGATCAAATATGGTTTTGATCGATCAAATCTCTCCAACACATACCACTGAGTGGGAATATTTACAACTTCAGTGGTATATTTATCAAATTTGTGAGAATATTTACAACTTCAGTGGTATGTTTACTAAATTAGTGGAAACTTTTACAACTTCAATAGATTCATTACTAGTCCATGTCCGATCAAATATAGTTTTGATCGATAAAATCTCCCCAGTACTTTTACTTCTAATTCACAATACAAATCAACAATAACATGATCGATCAAATATATGTTTGATCGATTGAATTTACTTACCAACGATTTGATCGATCAATATATCATTCTGATAGATCAAATTCAATTACAACCGATTAATTTATCCAATTTTTTTAAAAAAATTGAAAAATTTAAAAAAATTGGTATTAATTTTTTTATGAAAAAATTAGATTTAAAAATTGAAATTTTCTTTTAAAATTGGATTTAAAAATTTTCCAATTTTTTAAAAAAAAATTTTCAATTTTAAATTTTTAAAATTTTTTAATTTTTTTCAATTTTTTTAAAATTTTTTAAAAATAATTAATTTCATTTATTTATTTATTTTTTTAAAATTATTTTTAAAATAATTGGATAAATCAGTCGGTTGTAATTGAATTTGATCGATCAGAATGATATGTTGATCGATCAAACATATATTTGATCGATTATGTTATTGCGGATTTATATTGTGAATTAAAAGTAAATGTACTGGAGAGATTTGATCGATCATTAACTAGTAATGAATCTATTGAAATTGTAAAAATTTTCACAAATTTGATAAATATATCACTGAAGTTGTAAATATTTTTACAAATTTGATAAATATACCACTAAAATTGTAAATATTCCCAATCAGTGGTATGTGTTGAGGAGATTTGATCGATCAAAACCATATTTGATCGATCATGAACTAGTAATAAATCCATTGAAGTTGTAAAATTTTTCACTAATTTGGTAAACATACCACTGAAGTTGTAAATATTCTCACAAATTTGACAAATATACCATTGAAGTTGTAAATTCCTACTTTGTGGTATGTGTTAGGGAAATTTGATCGATTAAAACCATATTTAATTGATCATGGACTAGTAATAAATCTATTGAAGTTGTAAAGATTTTTACAAATTTTATAAACATACTACTGAAGTTATAAATATTTCCACAAATTTGATAAATATACTACTGAAGTTGTAAATATTCTCACTCATTGGTATGTGTTGAAGAGTTTTGATCGTTCAAAACCATATTTGATTGATTTTGGACTAGTAACGAATCTATTGAAATTGTAAAGATTTTCACAAATTTAGTAGACATACCATTGAATTTGTAAATATTCTCACAAATTTGGTAAATATATCACTGAAATTATAAATATTCACAAAAATTTGATAAATATTCTCACAAATGTTGTAAAATTTTCACTAATGTTATAATTTTGTTCACTGTAATCATAAACTTCCCACTAATATTGTAATTTTGCCCTCAATTGATTTAATGGTTGCTAGACGGCATATCTTGTCTTGTCTACTAACCGGTATAAATATACCATAAATTTAGTAAACATGCCACTAATATTATAATTTGAAATTTTCAGGATGGTACCGAAAATCCATTGGATGTACAGTAGCCTTCTCCTTTTCTTTGGGTACCCTATAAATGGTGTGTAGGACAATTCTGGTGTTCTTTCAAACTTGGTGGACGAGAGTGTTGAGTTATGACTGATTGAGTAACTTGGATAGTGGTGTATCTTTTGTGTCTGTGTGTGTGTGTTTGGTTTTATTTTTGGGGGTGAGGGGGGGGGGGGGGGGGGGGGGGGGGGGTGGTGAGGAACAGGTAATCAAGTAAGGTATTGTCTGTTGAGGATTTAAGCTTTCATTATGTTGCTTGAAATCTGAATTAGGAATCTGCATGTCCAGAGGTACCGATGAATCTGATTTTGCATCTTTTCGTATTTCGTCTGCTATTAAGTAATTGAAACAGAGGAAATAATAGTGGATGCTCTATAATTTCAAAGGTCAACAGACTTTTTTTCTAGTATTACACAATTTTACGATTTGTTTCTCTTTTTGATCAGAAGGGTAAGACTTACTAATATATCATCAAGTTCTTACCTTTGATCGAGAGAGAGAGAGAGAGAGTGCAATTTTTTCCAGGAGAAGAGAAGAAGAAAGACGAAGTCAGTATCTTTCATCTCTCCCACCCCCCACCCACACCACAAAACCCAATTTGTGGGTTGGTAATTTTGGACAAAAGCGGGTAGACTCAGTATGCTGCACTCTGGATTTCAAAAAGGTATGTTCTACTGTGATAATACCTCCTTGGCTGAAAAAGTTGGATTACAAGGACCAGACATCTATCCGTGTGTTAATTTTTTTCAGTAATTTCTCCTCACAGGGCACGGGCTTATCATTTCAAATGCAGTCTTTTCCATCCCGTATTAATAATCATAGCGTTGCCTGAAGCGACAGTGTATCGACAAAAGACAAGAGTATGATATAATGATTGTGTGCAAGGCATATGCAAAATTTCTGCTAAAATAACGATTTTTTTCACAAACCCTACACAGAATTAATAAAATTTGTCATGGTTAGCTAAACCCACTCCACCACCTATCTCCCACCGCGTCCCCACCGGAAAAAGAAAACGAAAAAGAAGAAATATTTATCTCTATTTTCAAATGTAATCTCAAAAATTATAATATTATCCCCAATAACTCTCTACTTTGGTTTACGTCTCTTCCAAATTTATTAAGGAGTTCTGAATTTGTGAATCGGCTTAATGAATTAGAAGATGTCTTCTAACTCATTAAGCCCAAAAAAATAAGACAAATTTTGAACTCATTTTTTTTGGAAAGAGTTGTACAACTAATTTTCGTTTAGTTTTTTGGAAGAAGAATATTTCTTTATTAATTTTTAAGTACTCCTCACAGATAATGAGCAATATTATAGAGACTTAATTTAGCCATTAAATTAGTTATACATCCCAATATTAGGTGAAACTTACTTAAACAAGCTAGCTAAGTCACTCATTATTTTACCAAATTACTTGATATACACTTCATTCTTGTCCACGTCTAAGGACTAAAAGGTGGAACCACCCCCCCCCCCCCCCCCCCCCCCCCCCCCCCCCAAAAAAAAAAAAAAACGAAAAAACCCAGTGCCTCTGCACCTTTGTATTGCTAAGACACAGAACTTATGCAGCTATTGGACGTGTGGTATCTACTTTATACAGACCAATCAAAATAATAGAAATTTGAGGAATTTTATAGGAACTTAATATGTTAACTTAATTTATTATGAGCTTTGAATTAATTACAGACTCCATCAAGTATTGAAATTTGATGTTGATCCAATGATTTTAATAAAGCCACATCATTAGATCAGTAAATTATGTCATATTTTTATGTTCAAATAACATTATTTCCTAATTTAATGTAACAATTGCATTAGTTGTGAGTTCAAATGAAAAATAGAGTTCACTTTCAATTTAATAATTGCATTGAATTAGATTCTTATATTAAATTTTCAAATTAGATTTAAATAGCATTTTCCCTGTAAATTAAGGAAACAAATTAGATAAGAATGTGTGGAATAACCTCATCTTTCTCAAAGTTACAATTTACGAATGACGTTGAGTCCTTTTTGAGACAGGAAAAAAAAACCTAGAAACCAACAAGAATTTGATCTCAGCTTTGTGCAATAAACACAAGAACATGAATGGGCAAAAAAAGAGATTGAAGAAAAGGAAATCTCTAATGGCCAGGACCTCTTTTGCTTGGCCCAGAAGCCAATTTAGCCGCCAAGCTCCTTGCTGAAGCACTACCAATACTAGAGTTGTTGTTGGGAGAGACAGGAAATGGAGTCATGCCCATGGAGTCAGCTCCTCCTCCGCTCTGTTGGTCACATCCGGCGATGGTGGTGGCGTCCAACGACGACCGAAGGGCACGACAATGGACAACGTTGAGTTGTGTACTCGTTACCAGAAGTATAAAACCCAACACAAAACAAAGACTCTTCAAGGATATTGTTGTTGGACTTTTCTCTCTCATTGCCATTTCTAATTACTTCTCTCTCTATAAATTTTCTGTGAGGTTGTTGATGAAGCAAATGGGCAACTACTGCTTTGTATATGATTTTATGTGAGATAGTTGATGAAGCAATATGCAGCAACTAGTCTTGTATATATACGCAAACATTTTGTGCGTGGACGGTGAATTTTACATGGCCTCCGCCCGCGTAAGGCTGAGGTGGTGAGGTTGGACTAGACTAAGGCTCTCAAACGATCCGACCTACTTGAATTTGACACAGGCTAATCTCGTTTTTAATTCGTCCAAAGTTCGTTTAAATTGCAAAAATAATCCTATTTATGCATAAATTTACTGTTTAAAAAATACTATCCAAGATGAGTAACTCCTAGTGTGTACACTTCTCTCTATCTCTTAATTAATAGATTTTCGAGCAATCAAACCTCTAGAGTTTGGTTATGTTAAGAAATTTTTAGTTGAAAAATTAAACATTTTAGGATTGATGATCGAGTTTTAAATTTGACAATCAAGCTTAAGCCTATGCCATATGCTCGAATTTCGCAAACCACGTTGGAGTCAAATCTCAACAAACCCAACTCCTAGACTTGAATGTGGCTTAATTTTGACTTTTATACTCACCAACACTTTTGGTGATATCGTATCGCATGTACATGAAGAGTGAAAGAGTTAGTTTCAAACCGCAAAGTGCATGTTTGACTTCTATGGAGATACATGTTTTCGTCTATTGATTGATATTCAATCTAAGCAGTCTAGGCTAGATCGTTTCACATGTGACTTTGATCCCATGCCTACCTGTATTTACGTCTGTTCCGTGTTTGTTTCCTTTTACATATTTTCTTGGTAGGTTTTCATGAACACATAGTCAATGAATAAAAAGGTGACAGCCAAACAAGATGGCAACAAGTGACACTATAAAAAAAAAAATAAAACTGTTGGTCAATTAAAATAGTCGTTAGTTGTCTCTCATGTTTCATGGAAAAGCCCATCTGTTGAACTGTTCACCTCCTAAGTAGAAGATAATGCAAAAGAAAGTCAAAAGGAGGCCATGCCCCCCTCCCCTCAAATTTTTAAAATTCTATTATTTTTCCTATATTTTTTAAAAAATTTATTATTAACCTTTAATTTTTCAAAATAACCAATGAATAAGTATCTCGTCTAGTGTATTAAAAAAATCAATGACTTAATATTTTGTAACCATTTAAAATATAATCACGTAGATGAGTGTCGCTTGTATTGACAAAAACACTTGTTGAATTATTTTAATGATGTAAAGAAAAACAAGTGATTTTTTTTTAAAAAAAATACGAATACAAATATGGTTTATATTAAAAGCAGTTGATTGACTTATAGTTCATTTTTATTATGGTATCATATAAAACTATTATTTGTGATTGCGACTTTGATTTATTTATAGGGGAAAGTCTATGGTACCGCCTTCAGTACTACACCAAATGTTACTACTTTTATAGTATAGTTATAATTCAAAAAAAAAAAAAAGTTACAACTGTTCAGGAGAAGTTTATGATCGATCAAAGGTCCATGATAGATCACAAATACACATGATCGATCATGAACTTTCCCTGAACAAGTAATTTCTTCTTTTTGATTTGTAACTTAACTTTTAAAAATTTTAACTTACACCTTAAAAGTATTGTAACTTAACCTGAAATTGTTATAACTTTCCCTGTTTATAAACATAAGATTACATTATAAACAATAAATAAATAAAAACGAGATTATCACAAATGAATTTTTATGATGGCATGAACCACTTTTGAATTTTGTGCTCAAAAATAATTTTTTTGATATCATGGCATACAAGTTAAATTTAATAGATTTTTTTTAAATAAAAATTTATCATTAATAATGATCATTAAATAAACCTATTGAATTATATTTTATGTATGAACTAATAATTGTCTGTGTCTGAAGGTACAAAGTAATAAAAAATTGTAAACAATAAACATATTTATGATTTATATCCAAAATCAAATCATAAATATAGAAACAAAATAAAAATTAAAGTATCAGTTTATAATGAGGGTAGTGGGCGACAGTGAATGTGGTAGAAAATGGTGATGGTTGTAGTGGGTGGCAATAATCGAGGTGGTGGTGGCGGTGGCGAGTGACGGCAGTAGTGGTGGCATTGGTGGTGGCGGCAGCGGTGGTGGTGGCAGTGGTGGTGGTGGTGGTGGGGGTGGGGGGTAGAGGTAATGGTGAAGCGATTTCAAATACTATTTTTTTTTATGTATTTATGAGAAATGGTTTCTAAAAGTACTTTTAAAAAGTCAATTCAAATACACCCTTAGTGACCTATTTTTCCTATTAAATTTAGGGTGTTAATATTAGTCGTTAGATTAACTTTAAAATAAAATTTAAAACGATCTGAACCGCGAATAGTAAAAGTTATTTTGTTTATCTTTTGAGATTTGAATTGTAAGCTACTTTATTATATAGATAAAAAACACGTGAATAAAATAATTCTATGTTTCCAAAAAGAATTGGATCAACACACTTCCACCCATTAGTATTCTTTCGTAGTTACAATTTACTTTCCACGGAGTGTTCGTTCACGTGATCACAAGATTCTAAAATAAATTGGGTTTACAAACTAACAAAAAAGGATTAACCATTCAAAGGTGGAAAGTTCAGCTGTCTAAGTTGAATTAAACACTATGAAAGTGTGGCAATCCATTTTCAAAAGCAATGAATACTGTTGAAACTTCCTAAAACAATTTTCTACTATGAGCAAGCTCTCTTACCCCTCTTGTTAGACCACTTACTGTCGGTAGAAGACTGACAAATTTGTAGCTAAGAAACAGGCAGTTTTGTCGTACTCATGTAGTTGAATGTGACTACCACAGAAAGCTTAATTTCAAAGAGTATTTTTTTTTTTTAAAAGTTAGAGGTGTTCGAATCAAACTTACGTGCACTTTAACTAATGTAGACTATTTACGTCGAGATTAGAGTATTCATAAGAGATAAATCTCTCATGATCTAATTTTAAAGAGTTGTCAATATTCGAATTTAGAACATCTAAATTTATAGTCTATTTTTATTACCATTTAAGTGTTCGTCGTCCCTGTTTCCAAAATTCTAACTGCTACCATTCAAGTGAGCCAGAGTGTGACAGTGATGTATGCCTCATTCTCCAAATAATTTTTCTAAAGACAGCACCCAAGCAACACATCAGTTAAACAAATGTCTAAAGTGGTAAACTAAAGTAAGATTTGAGAACGGTCAAAGACGTATATAATTTTTATCTTTACAAAAAAATTATTTTTGTAACACAAATCTAAGATGCTCACCCACATCACAACAAAACAAAATGGTCTATAAACCTTAAGAGAATGGGAATCAAATCTATTTAATAGAATGAAACAACGAATGAATAAAGAGTTATAATAATATATAGATTTGAGAGTCGTACAAGAGTTATGCACCTTAGACTATAGGCTGAAAGATTTATTAATTAATCTTGAGCTGTTAGCACGCTAAGCAATGTTTGCTTAGGAATCTCAATATTCCAACGTTGAAACGTATGATTCGTCTTTGTCTTTCGCTCTATCACATCTTTTATTGTTGATTAAAAAACTAGTGGAATTTTAAAATTCAATTCCCCCCACTCCATACCCACTCTTCAACCATCTCGAGGATTATGGGAGCTATATTTTATATCAAAGCATGGATATGCTGCGTGTTTTTTGTAACAGGCGTATTAAAGAGGTATCGCAACATTAGAGTCCAAAGATTGTTGCCATACCTTAAACGAAAGAACAAGAGGGTACAATAATCATGTTTACTTTAATTTGCATTGGATAAAATAAGTTATGATTGTTGTCATACTCTTCCTCCGCAAATTGATTTTCTCTTTGAGGTTTTGTGAGTATTATGGTCAAAAATATATATATCAGTTTACATGTATTTCAATTAATTTTTTTTGAATTTGATTAAAATAAATTATCTACGCCGAAACTAGGATACACCATCATGTCCAATTGAGGCTCCAACATATCTTAACAGATATAACAAATCTCATTTCCTTCTTTACAGTTCCCTCCTTGCTGGTCAGTAGTTGAAAAAATGGCTCTAGGAGGAAGCAAGCGTTGTCAACGCATTGTGGAACCGACAATCCTTGTGACCTTCGGACCTCGCATGCCAAGATCCAATATTAATGCTCCTTTTCATGCTATGAAAAGTGAGAGGATGAAAAGTTGGAAGAATAAATAAAATATCATGTTTGATAAGAAAAAAAGTAGGAAGAATAAAAAAGTGGATGAATTAACTTTTTTTCCAACTCACCAAAATCAATCCCTCTAAAATCATAGGAAAGTGGATGTAAAGTTAATTATTTGTGTTGAGATGTATTTTATTTGTCTATATGTCTTATGTATACATTAATTTCATATAAAAATACAATTATAAAATATGTATATATATTTAAAAAAAATTAAAAATTAAAAAATAAAAAATTTAAGTTAATTTTTATTTCCATCTTAACTAAGGGTGAAAATTTTCAACTCAATACGATGACACAACTCGAATTCGATACGAAAATAAATAGGTCAACTCACAACTCGAAACAACACAATTAGTTAAATGAGTTAAATTAAGTTTGATTAATATTCGACACAAACTTGTAATGACTCTACACGAATCTGACACGACACGACTCGACTCCATTGTCACCCTTAATCTTAACCAGCACAAAAAAAAAAATAGTCATTTTTATTTTTCATCTATCCAACCAAACACAAAAGAAGGAAAGTGTATCCTTCCTAATTTTTATCTTTGAAAGATAGAAAGTGTATATCTCATACTTTTCATCCTTCCTACCATCCTCCTTACCAAACGGAGCATAAGAGATAAAAATGGACTAAATTAGTATAAATTTTTTTTTGGCAAATTTCACGACGTACCATAAAAAATTTTAAGGTTCTCACTTTATATATTTAAATATTAAATTTTTGACATTACACCTTAATATAGTAAAAGTGTTGTAATATGAC